ATCTGAAGTGGAACAGTTTCATCCTAAAACCATCCCCCGCCCCAATCTGTGGAAAAATTGTCTTCCTTGAAACCTGTCCTCCATGGTGCCAAAAAGTTTGGGGAGCGCTGCCGTAGAGGTGTCCTACCTCTGAGGATTAAGGACATTGGTATGTTTTTATTATATTTTATTGATATATTAGTTTTTTTACAGCTACTGTAACAAATTATCACAAATTTGGTGGCTTAAAACACAGAACTTTATTCTCACACAGTTCTAGAGTCTACAAGTCTGCACTTAATATCACTGGACCGAGCTCTAGAGGAGAATTCGTTCCTTGTCTCTTCCCTCTTCAGGTGGCTGCTAGAATTCCTTGACTTGTCTACATCACTCCCATCTCTGCCTATGTGGTCACATTGCCTCTTTTTTGTCTTCTCCTATCTCTTAAAAGGATCCATGTGATTGCCCATAATCTCTTCATCGTTTTTTTTTTTTTTGAAACAGAGTCTCACTCTGTCTCCCAGGCTGGAGTTAGTGATGCATCTTGGCTCACTGCAACCTCAGCCTCCCGGATTCAATGGATTTTCCTGCCTCAGCCTCCCTAGTGGCAGGGACTGCAGGTGCATGCCACCATGCCCAGCTAATTTTTGCTTTTTTTTTTTTTTTGAGACGGAGTTTCGCCCTTGTTACCCAGGCTGGAGTGCAATGGCGCGATCTCGGCTCACCGCAACCTCCGCCTCCTGGGCTCAGGCAATTCTCCTGCCTCAGCCTCCTGAGTAGCTGGGATTACAGGCACGTGCCACCATGCCCAGCTAATTTTTTGCACTTTTAATAGAGACGGGGTTTCACCATGTTGACCAGGATGGTCTCGATCTCTCGACCTCGTGATCCACCCGCCTCGGCCTCCCAAAGTGCTGGGATTACAGGCTTGAGCTACCGCGCCCGGCAATTTTTGCATTTTTAGTAGAGACAGGGTTTCACCATATTGACTAGACTGGTCTCGAACTCCTGATCTTGTGATCTACCCACCTTGGCTTCCCGACGTGCTGACATTACAGGCGTGAGCCACTGCGCCTGGCTGATAATCTCTTCTACCTTAAAATTTTTAACTTAATAACACCTTTGCCTGTATAATATTAATAATACATGAATATTAATATTCATCTTTCCAGGGACTTGGGCTTCATATAGCTGGAAGTTGTTTTTCAGCCTACCACCATCGGTACAGTTATCCTTTAATTCCCATCTGTTGTTGGTTGAAGGATGCTTCCAGTGGAAATTCTGTGGCACTTCAGACCTGTCCTACAGGGCTCCAGAAAAAGTCCTTAAGTGAAAATTTGCGAGTGCTCAGAGGACTTTTTCAGCATGTATGGAACAGGAAGTGCTGAGGATATGTAGAAGGGACACCAACAACATTTGTATAGGACCCCCAGGAGACCTCCCCAACAGCCCCTTGCAGCTTTCTTTCTGTGTCCTGAACAAAAATCACAGAGTGCCTTGACTGCTGTGTGACATAGCCACCTGCAGGTTCTCCCAGCAGGCTTCAACACAAACTGGGGCCTTGAACAGTTTCAGGCACTGATAAAAGTTTTTACTGTTGCTATCTTTACAAATAAACTGTGAATGATGCCCCTAGAATTGTACCATATATAGTCCTCCCTTATATTTGACAGTGAAGTGTCTTGAGGAAATGGAAACTTTTTCTGATTTCCACGGGTCCCCTGTGGGTGAGCTGTAGGGCAGCCTGCCTGCATCTTTTATGTCTAAGATGACTGACAGTAATAACATCCAATTACTTTTATTTTCTAATTTGTGTTACTTAGGTGTGGGCTTCTTCCATCAACAAACACATATTACAAAGTGGCAAACATTCATATAGTCCCTTATTATAACTTACGTAATTAATCCTGTGGTACTGGAAAAAAGAGACCTTATTATTCCATGTCCACTCAGTGATAGTTTTCAAAAGTGTTTGTTTCTATAAAATGGATTAATTATAATATGGTAAATGGCCAAGAAAGCCCTGGCTTGTTGACAAAGATCTCTGGAGTATTGGGATTCTAGCTGTGGGTAGAAGAAAGAAATAGGAACTATTAGAAAAGGTACAAGTAAAAAAAATGTTCTTTTGAACGTGGTGATGTGAAGTCCCATGGTTAGCAGGTAGAGCTGTCCAGGAGTCAGGTACTACAAGAATGAAGCTTGGCGGGAGAAGTGTGGGCTGGACAAAATCTCTCTGTAATAGGTAGATGAATGAAATCATGCTGGAAGAGCAAGTAGAGTGAGAAGTGTAGTGGACAAGTGGGCCAAGAGCAAACCCTGAGTCACCTACATTGAAGAGGCATAGGGAGGAGGAAATGGAGGTAGGAGGAGAACGCGGGGAAGAGGCTATTAGGGAAGCCAAGGAGGTCAACATTCTAATGTGTGAAGGGAGATATGCGTAGTATCAAAGGTAGCAGACAGATCTAGTGAGGTTAAATGAGAAATAGGTAATGTAATTCCATACACAATTAGAAAAACTTCACAACAATTTGGAGGTTCTTGGTAATCAAAGCCAGTTAAGTTCTTAACAGACTTCCCAAAAGGGCTATTAGAAATCTCCAGGTATAATCCCTATGATACTAGTTTGGGAAAGCCCAGTGACCCTTATCAGCTCAAGTGTCCAGGAAAGCTAGTCTAAGGGATCTAAGAGGATCTGGAGTCCAACTGGGGCTTGGCAGTGGATTGAGTGAAGAAGACAAGACACAAAGACAGACATAACAGAATTAAGAAGCAGCAAGATTAAATGGAATTAAAAGGAATCATGTAAACCTCCATTTTTGAGTATTTTCAAACAACAGACTGCTCAAATTGAAGATAGGAGAGATTTAGCTTGGCAAGAATTGCTTTAAAATGATCCGGAGATTTTAGTCGATTGTAAACTTAAAATGGGCCAAGAGTATGACACAATTCTTAAAAAAGCTAGCACACACTGGGCGTGGTGGCTCATGCCTGTAATCCCAGCACTTTGGGAGGCTGGGGTGGGAGGACTGCTTGAGCCCAGGAGTTTGACAACAGCTTAGGCAATATAACAAGACCAAATCTCTTCAAATAATATAAATTAGCTGGGCATGGTGGTGCGTGTCTGTAGTTTCAGCTACTTAGGAGGCTGAAGTAGAGGATCACTTGACCCTGGGAGGTTGAGGCTGCAGTGAGCTGAGATGTGCCACTGCACTCCAGCCTGGGCAACACAGAGAGAGAAAAAAGGCAATCTTATATTTAAAAAGAATGCTAGCACAGGATTGGGTTATGATAACAGAGAAGAGAAAGTGGAGACACTAAGAATACTTTTTTTCTGGAAGTAGGGACAAGTCGGAAAAGAGGCATATCAAAGAGCAATTAAAGGGAGATAAGCTTACTAGAAAAAATTTTTAAAATGGAAGAGATTTGAACATGTTTATAAGCTGAGGGGAAGGATCTATTAGGGAGGGAAAGAACACAGGAAATAAGGGATAATTAATGATACAAGAATCTGATTAAGCTGGGAGGAGTTGGTTTTGAACTGGAATGGGGATGCCTCATCCTTGGAGACTGGAAGGAAGGCTGAAAGGATGGGCGTGACTGTAGATATGTTGATGTGCTTGGGAGGGAATTCAGGCATTTGGAAGAGTAGAGGCTGATGTTTTCCATTTGTTTGATGAAGTAATACTCCATTGGGACAAGCTCTGCTGTTTCTGACACCGTGTGGAAGGAGACAGATCAAGGAAGAAGTTGGAAGGCAGGTTGAAAGAAGAGTGCCAGATGGAGCTCTTGGTCTTTGTGGTGAGATCAGGAAATTGGTACTTTTTTTCTGTCTCTCTAAGAGCAACACTATCCAAGGGGCTCAGAACTCTTTGGGCGGCGCTGCTGGCTTTTCCCACATGTTCAGGACTGCGAGGCCAGACTCTGTCAGGGCCATACTCAAAAATCATAGACTTAACTCCACAAAAAACTTGAAGTGAAATGCTTACATTTATTGAGAAAAAGAAGTCTTTGAGACACAAACATAATGACTTTGGTGAAATTACTAAGCAGACAGTAGAATTTACCCAAAGCTGGAAGATACTGAAATGTAGATACAGTTTTTTTGTCTTTTTCTTTTTTTTTTTTTTTTTGAGATGGGGTCTTGCTCTTGTTGCCCAGGCTGGAGTGCCTTAGCGTCATGTCGGCTCACTGCAACCTCCACCTCTCGGGTTCAAGCGACTCTCCTGCCTCAGCCTCCTGAGTAGCTGGGATTACAGGCGCCTGCCCCCCCATGTCTGGCTGATTTTTGTATTTTTAGTAGGGGCAGGGTTTCACCATCTTGGTCAGGCTGGTCTTGAACTCCTGACCTCAGGTGATCCACCAGCCTCGGCCTCCCAAAGTGTTGGTATTACTGGTGTGAACCACTGTGCCCAGCCTGGATACAGTTCTTTATCAGACAATGGTTAAAATTAAAGCAAATACTCAAAATAAAACACTAAGGATCACAGGCTTTTTTTTGTCGTTTTTTAATTTTTATTTTTGTAATTTGAGAACCACAGCCTTTTAAGTGACTGAGGCTGATGAGAAATCATTCGCCATTCTACAAACACGCCCAGAATGTCCGTCGAGGGACAGGCATTACACAAAAGAAATGAACTTCCTTCTGCCCTCAGGATTGTATGGAGGAAAAGGACTACGAAAATCATCCATAACAGAATGAGACAAGCAACGTGAGGAGAGGTACAAAAGGCAGTGAGCTAATTGAAAGAACCAAGTCCTCTCTGAGAGGAGGAGCCCGATTTCCCCAAGGCATTAAAAGAAATAGATAGGGCGAGAGTCAAGTAATCAAACTCTGAGAACTTTTTAAGTTGCCCCCGCTTCCGCCCGGCTTCCCACCCTCGGCCCCAACGCCCCTCTGTGCTTCGCGTGTGCCAGTCCGCGCGCGCACGCCGAGGCGCAACCGAACCCTGGCCGCGAGACTTCACCGCGAGAGGGCGCGAGCCCGAACCTCCGACGGAAGTCCCGCCCCCACATCCGGCGGCGGAGGATTGGGAGGGGCTGAAGGCCGCTTCCGGCTCGGGAAGTGCAGTGGCTTCGGCTCGGAAAGTGCAGTGGCTTCGGCACGTGTGTCATTCCACGGGATTTCTGTATTAAACCTGCCTCTGGTAAACTTGTCTGGCCGGACTCCTTTAAGGCCTAAGGATGAAGGCGGTAAGTGTCCTCAGAAGCCCGGTCCCTGCGGCCTAGGGCCCTTCCAGGTGATAGAGTCGCTGCCCGAGTCAGCTTTTAGAAAAGCACGTTTTCACCCTTGTCTTGAGGGGTGGTGGTTTAGGTTGAGGGCTTTCCGGTCTTTACACCGAGCTCATCCTTGGTTACCCACTGTGTGCGCGCACGACTTCAGGGTATCAAGAAGAGACAGGCACGGAGTTTTGCATCCGTGGGATTTCAGACTTTGAAGGATTCTTTAAGACCGTCTTTCGAACTCGTTTTTCACAAATGAGAAGCAGGGGCCTGCCCCTCAGCGAGTTTATGATGTGAGTCACAGTACCCATAAAGGATAAAGAGATAGAAAAGCAAGTGATTTGCTCTGGTTCTCACAGAGAATTAGAGGTAGTCCTAGGATTCAGGACTAGCTTTGGGGTTTCTGAATGAGGACTCACCAGCAAGAGAAGTGGAATCCAAAGATGCGAATTCAGTTTTGCCCTCCTTAGTTTAGGGGTCTTTTGGCAACTTCATCAGTAATATGAAGATAATAGCAGTCAATACTCAGCTAGGCTGTTGCAGGTGATTTGTTGGAGCACTTCGTAAATGGCAGAATCGTAAATAAATGTAAGTTTTATTAAAGACAGCCAGCATTTTGCGTTGAATGTGTTACAGGTGTTAAATTAACCCTGATTAGCCACTTAGCACTAGTAGATCAGTGGTTCTTAACCTTTTTGGGGGTCGTAGAGCCCTTTGAGTTGCTGTGGATTAGGGTCGCAGAAAGACCCTAGGTTCAATAACTGATGCTATAGTGCTCTTCTGTAGAATTAAAGCCATCCTTTGGTTTTACCTCTTAGATGCAAGTCCATGGCTGTGGGACATTAAAACTGTGGAATTGGTCTGATGAAATTTATAATCAGTTCTCTTTAACCTGACTTTAAAAATAAGTTTCTGGGCCGGGCGCGGTGGCTCACGCCTGTAATCCCAGCACTTTGGGAGGCCGAGGCGGGTGGATCACGAGGTTAAGAGATCGAGACCATCCTGGCCAACATGGTGAAACCCCTCTTACTAAAAATACAAAAAAATTAGGTGGGTGTGGTGGCTCGCACCTGTAGTCCCAGCTACTCGGGAGGCTGAGGCAAGAGAATTGCTTAAACCCGGGAGGCAGAGGTTGCAGTGAGCTGAGGTCGCCACTGCACTCTAGCCTGGGGCCTGGTGACGCAGAGTGAGACTCTGTCTCAAAAAAAAAAAAAAAAAAAGAAAAGAAAAAATAAGTTTCTGGGTATGTAGTATTCCTTCTGTTGTTTTCTAGAGAAGAAATAAAAAACAGATCCCAAGCTTCCGCAAGCTGATAAAAACTAGTAAAATAAAACTTGAAAACAAGCTAAAAAATAAGCAGTTTAAACAACAAAGCACTCTCAAGAAGTACCGAAAAGAACAGAGGAAACTAAGGCAAGCTGTGAAAGATGCTGTGTCTAAGAAACCTATTCCACTGGAGGACCCAAGGGAAAAGCGACCAGGTAATTGTGAAAACATCCATGTGTTCTGGTTTCCATTGATTTATTGTGAAGTGTTCTTCATGGAAATAACTTTCCCTTCTGGGAATCACTTTTCTTCTTCTCAGATCTTCCTAGAATGGGTAAGGATAGTAGTCCTATAGGACTGCAATAAAGCATGTGTGCTTTATCAGTCAGTGTGAGAAAACATTTCAATACAGTATTCGTTCAAGCTTCTGCTTTTAGTTCGGAAAGCAGATCTGAAGACAAACTGAAAGTACCCACATACATACATGTTGGGCAGTGTGCCAGTGCTGCCACTTTCCCATTCATCAGCAGTTAGGTAAGAACGTTGCTTGTCTCTGGTTCATTCTTCACAGTATTGCCAAGGTGGTACTTTTAGGGTATTCTTATTTGACTATATCTAATTATTAGGTAATTACTTAGTCTTCCTGGGTCCATCTTTTTTAAATTAATTTTTTAAAAAAAATATAATAGGGTCTTGCTCTGTTACCCAGGCTAGTGTGCACAAACAGCTCACTACAGCCTTGACCTCCTGGGCTCAGATGATCCTCCTGCTTCAGCCTCTGAAAATGCTGGGATTGCAAGGGTGAGCCACTGCACCCAGCTAAAGGTTTTGTTTTTTTTTTTTCCCCTAATTTTTGTGGGTATATAATATATAGTTTATATATTGATGGGATACGTGAGATACTTTGATACATGCATACAATGCATAATAATCACATTAGGGAAAATGAAATATCCATCATCTCAAGCATTTATCTTTGTTACAAACAATCCAATTATACTTTTTTGTTGTTTTAAAACATACAATAAATTATTGTTGACTGTAGTTGCCCTATCTATCAAATACTGGATCTTACTTATTCTACCTATTTTTGCACCCGTTAACCATACCTACTCCTACCTTTTCCAGCTACCCTTCCCAGCCAGTGGTAACCATCATTTTATTCATCATTTGTTTCAATTTTTAGCCACCACAAATAAGTGAGAACATGGAAATTTGTCTTTCTGTGCTGGCTTATTTAACTTAGCATAATGGCCTTAAGTTTCATCCATGTTGTTGCACACAGGACCTCATTTTTTATGGCTGAATAACACTCCATTGTGTACATGTACCATATTTTCTTTAATATTCATTTGTTGATGAACACTTAGGTTGTTTCCAAATCTTGGCTTTTGTGGATAGTGCTGAATAAGCATTGGAGTGCAGCTATCTGTTCAGTATACTGATTTCCTTTTTTTGGGTACATGCATAGTAGTGGGCGGGAGTGCTGGATTATATAGTAGTTCTATTTCTAATTTTAGTTTTTTGAGGAACTTCAACTTTTCTCCATAATGGTTGTGCTAATTTACATTCCTACTAAAAGTGTATGAGGGTTCCCTTTTCTCTACATCCTTGCTAGCATTGTTTATTGCTTGTCTTTTGGATAAAAGCCATTTTAACTAGGGTGAGATATCTCATTGTAATTTTGATTTGCATTTCCTTAGTGATCAGTGATACTGAGCACCTTTTCATATACCTTTTGCCATTGTATGCCTTCTTTTGAGAAATGTCTATTCATGTCTTTTGCCCATTTTTAAAATGGGATTATTACATTTAGAAGGCTCATTTAAAGTAGATGGGAGTGCCATTCTGTGCAGTGTGTATATTTATATAGCAAGATTTACTAGGTTTTTTTTTTTTTTTTTTGAGACGGAGTTTCGCTTTTGTTGCCCAGGCTGGAGTTCTGTGGAGTGATCTCGGCTCACTGCAACCTCTGCCTCCTGGGTTCAAGCAATTCTCCTGCCTTAGTCTCCTAGGTAGCTGAGATTACAGGTATGTGCCACCACACCTGGCTAATTTTTTGTATTTTTCGTAGAGATGGGGTTTTACCATGTTGGCCAGGCTGGTTTTGAACTTTTGGCCTCAAGCAATCCACCCATCATGACCTCCTAAAGTGCTAGGATTACAGGTGTGAGCCACTGTGCCCAGTCAAGATTTACCAGTTCTAATGGGTCAAGAAGAATTGTCAGTTCTGTTAGGAAAGATGCTAAGATTGTTTTATTTATAGTTGAATCTTCAGCACTTAGAACTATGCCTGGCACTTAGTTGACTTTTTTTTTTTTAAATAAAAAAAAAGGAGATAGAGAAAGAGAGAACAAGACACAGAGAATGAGCAGAAAGAGAAGTTAGAATGATCTGTAGTTGGAATTTTGTTGGATGTGAGTGCCTGAAGTGTTAAAAGAAAAATAGTAGAGAATGTTGGCTAGAGTGTGGTTGAAGTGATAATCGTGATAATCTTGCAGTCTAAGTGAGGGAGTGAAGATGGAACACACTGATAGACAGTGGATTGAAAGTCTGTATATTGGTTAAGCAAGAAGTGCTGTGGAAGTAACTGAGTGGGAGCTGGAAGGACAAAAGCTTGTGGTCAGAGAGAGAGGTGAGCACCAGGGTTTGGAATGTGGCTGTTGTAGAGGCTGGCTGAAATGGAATACACCTTGAAAGTAAGGAGATGAGAAGGAGCTGAGGGGCTGAGTCACTGGTTTTCAAATGTCCTGAATGTCATTTCAGAGTGTGTGGAGACATTTAGTTTTTGGTTGTTACAATAACCTGGGAATGGGCATTAAGGTTGCAGGAGTCAGAGATGCTAGCATTTTTTCCCAAGCTCAGAACGCTTCAGTAGGACAAAGAATTGTTTGCCTAGCATGTCAGTAGTGCTTCCATTTAGAAACACTGGGCTCAGCTCGGGGCCATGGCTCACGCCTATAATCCCAGCACTTTGGGAAGCTGGAGTGGGAGGATTCCTTCAGAAAGCGTGAGCTTTTCCTGTTGTAGACCCAAAATGCATAGAGTTCTACATCTCTGATACTTGTTTCTAATTTTTCTTTTTTTGTGTGTGGTAAAGGTAAAAGGATTGAGAGGGAAGAAGAGGAAGAAGAAGAAGCCCTTCCTTTAGATATGATGGATGAAGATGACTTACAGTTAATGAAGGACTTAGGACAAAGAGCATCTTTTCTAACAAGAGATCTTTCTTCTAGGTAATACTTCATTTGGGTTATAATCATTCATATCCACTTAGTGTTAAAAACCTCGTTCTGAATTCCACTTAGGTGGTTCAAGGTATTCACCTTTGAGCACAGTGTTTACAAAGAAAAAACTATTACTTAGCTTATTTCCTAAATAAAGGAAGTTCATGTATAAGACAAGTCGATTTCATTTAATATACATCTTTCTTTTGAGTGTGAATAGTGAAGTAGAATGAATGGGGAAAGCATGTTCTTAGTTTGAGGCATTGGCAGAACAGTCCTGAGTTCTTTATGGCTACGATCTCACTTAATCCTCATTAACCTGCTAGGTAGGTCTTATTCCCATTTCCAGAGAGGAAACTGATGCTTGCTTGCAGTCACAAGTATTTGGAATTTAAACTTGGATCTTTTTAACTCCAAAGGCTATGCTATACTCTAAAGATTTTGGGAAAGTAGGAGTCATACTTGGTTCTGTGGACTGTTCTTCAAAAAGAATCTGCTGTAACTTTCACCTTTGTTTTGCATCTAAAGGGAAAACTGGATGTAGCCAGAGTTTGAGTCTGTGTGTTAGGCTGTTACCTTTATTTATTCATTTGCTGTTAGAGTGCCTGCTATGTGCCAGGCACTGGTCTAAGTGCTAATATATGCATACTTATTGAACATTGGCTGGTGGTTTATTTTTCTGTACTTTTGAAATAGGTCTCTAGATACCTTTTTAAATCTATTAAGACTGAAAATTCATCTTTCTTTCTCCCTGCAGTGAGCCTGTTCATGCGAAGAAACGGAAGCATGAACGCATTATAGATAAATATGAAAAAATACCAAGAACTTTGCAAACTGCACCAGAGAAGGAACTGATTCACTTGCTTCCTATCAAAGATAAAAGTGGTATAATCCCACAGACTAGAGAGAAGCCAGGTGAATCTAGTTGAACTTTTAGCCCCTTGCTGATATCATATATTTTTTTCACTCAATTTAATTTTACTTTTATTTTACCTGTATCTACAAAATATTCAATTAGTCTTATAGCAAGCTTGATGATTTGGGCCAGAATTATAGATGATTATCTCAGGTATCAATTTGTACAGTGAGGACAACTGACACTACAAGGTTCAGGTGATTTTCTTTTCACTAAAATTTTGTTGTTTCTAAAGTTAGAGCATATTAACTATTCTTTTAGCTTTCTTTTTCTAATGTATCTTTCTTTGTATGTGAAATAAAACATAGAAAAGTTCAGACAGGAAAGATGTGAAGTTATATGGTTTATAACAAAGCACTTACTAATAAAACTATCATCCAGACAAGAAAAAAAATACTGCTAGCTTCCAGAAACCTTCCTTGTGTTCACCTCAATCACTAATTGCTCTCTCCCCATAAAAGTAATTGCTATCCTGAGTTTTATTGTAATCGCGCGAATTTCTTTACAGTTTTACCGCTTAAGTATATTAATCACAGTTTTAATACATATGTTTTCCATGTAGTTACTGATAGTAACAAAGATGAAGAGGATCGAGAAGAAGCGAGGGAACTTGAGGAAGGTAATAAGATACGTCTTTACGGTTACTAAATTGTTAATCGAGAATTACATTTTTTTTGCATAATAGTAAATGTGAGTTAATTTTAGATAAAATCTGGAAGGTACATGTTGGAGTACTGCTCATTTCAAGGTTATTTTGAACATTTTTCCACATTTGAAGGCTTCACCTTGTAGAATTATTAATAGATTCTTTGTTTTTTATTAATGGAAAAATTTACACAATTATATTTGTAATGTCTAGGCATATGTGAAGTATCTTATTAATTATTACTGTTTTGAATTCCTTTTAATTGTTAGAGAAGGACCTACTTACAAATAAACTTTTAGCTTTAAGTTACAAAAGCGATTCTGTAGTATGAAGTCATTTTGGTTTGTTTTTAGTGCAATTGTAATTGTGTGTATTTCATGTAATTGAATGTCAGTTTCTGATATCTAGGACAGTTTAATCAAAGTTTAACTGATAATGCATTTTTATTGTTTGAAACTATACTAGTTTGGAATTTGTGACAGAACAATATGGTTAAATTTTGCTTTCACTTAGCAGACCTCATCAATAGCAAAAACGAATTACAGGTCTGTTTTTAGAGACCTGTCATAAAACCATTACAAATTATGTTAGTGTTGATTAGCTCTAATTCCCTATGAATTTCCTAAGGTGGACATGTTTTCTGTAGCCCAAAGCTATATAGTATTTATTAGTTTGTGTAAAGTCATATATAGTGTTGTAAACAAAGGAGAATATTCTGTACTTAAAAATCTAAATCAGATTATCCTATTTCTTAAATAATATGAATTATTCTGGGTTTATTAACATAGAAGCTGAGAGTATGAGCTCTAGGCTGATTGTACTGGCCCATGCCTGTAATCCCAGCACTTTGGGAGGCTGAGGTGGGAGGATCTCTTGAGTCCAGGAGTTTGAGACCAGTCTGGGCCACATGGTGAAACCCCGTCTTTACAAAAATACAAAAATTAGCTGGGTATTATGGCTCACATCTATGGTCTCAGCTACTGGGGAGGCTGAGGTGGGAGGATCATTTGAGTCTGGGAGGTAAAGGCTGCAGTGAGCTGTGATAGTGCCACTGTATGTGCTCCAGCCTAGGTGACCAAGTGAGACCCTGTCTCAAAAAAAAAAAAAAATGAGCTCTAGAATGAGACTGCCTGAGTTTGAATCCTATTTCACTTTGGTTTATGAGCTTAGCCAAGTTAATTTCTCTTCCTTTGCTTCAGTTTAAAATGAGTCTAATGATAGTATCTGTATTATTGTTGAGAAGATGATGTGTAGTAATAAATACAAAATTCTTAGCTATCATCATTATTATTACTGTAGAAAATTATTTTATTAAGATTCTTGGATACTTGTCCGTAGAGGAATATGTAAGGGAACATCTAATCTGCTTTAGAGATCGTTGAAGATCCTGTTCGAGAGCTGACCATAGAAGAACATTTGATTGAGAGAAAGAAGAAACTACAGGAAAAGAAGATGCATATTGCAGCCTTGGCATCTGCCATATTATCAGATCCAGAAAGTAATGTAGGTGGTATTAATTTCTTTAGGCTCTTTAAATTAGGTGTGGTGTAAATGCCTAATATGTTAAGATTCTCTTGTTACCTGTAAGCACACACTAAAAGGAAAAGCATTAACTAAACATAGTAGCTCGGTTACAGTAAGAGAATAGAATCTTAGCTTAATGGTATGTCTGAACTTAATTTCTTTTGTAATCCTAGAAAAATTACTTAAGCCCTCTGAATCTTATTCTCCTCATCTTCATATATGAAAATATTAGACATGTTATAACTAAAAATGTTTAAGTCTATAAAGTTGTATTAGGGAGGAGGAACCTGCTTGCAAATTTGCTTGACTTACCTATGGAGTTTTTAGAAAGGAGCATGCTACAGAGAAGTGTATGAAATTATTTCAAGAATAATTATAAGTTGAAGGTATTTTAAGTGAACTAGAGCCAAAATTAAAGTGTTATTATACCATGTGTATAGTGGTGAAAGTAGTGATAGTTATAACACATGAACTTGAGAAATCTTAGATTTAATCTTGGCCCTGATAAGTGCCGTTTGTGAGACTTTGGGTAAGTTATTTATCTAAGACTTTGATCTCTAAAAGAGAATAGTGTTTTTTTCCGAAACTTTGTGGTGAGGATTATATGATGAAATATACATGAAGTCATATAAAATGATAGTGTTATTATTGTTACGTTGGTGTCCCCAGCATACTATTATAACAAGTATTTGTTTATTGAATGATATTATAGCTTACAATTTATGGAAACAAATTTCATGTGGGAATGCTTTAGAGTAGTACTTGTCCTTTTCTGATAAAGTGAGGGGAAGATCTAGAGCAGAATCAGGGAAGAGAGATTTGGAATATTTCTTATTTGTGTTTTCTCATTTAATCATTGCAAAACCGTAGGCATAAGAGTTGTTGATCTAATTTTACAGCTAGAAAATTGAGCCTTAAAAAACCCAAGTGATTTGTTGCAGATTTTAACAGCTACTAAATCGGAACCCAGATCTTCTACTCAGGAACCTGTGCTCATTTCACACAGTTTAGGGATAGCAAATAGGTGGTGGCATATTTGTCCTACTTCCAGCTATGGTAAACATTGTTAACTAGCCAGAGCCTTGCTTCTCAGGATATTGCTCCAATAGGCAATAGTAGTTTATCAAAGCAATCACATTAGTTGAAACCACCTTTTGCATTATAAAAATTATCTTTGAAGCTTAAGTTAATGTGGTTATATGTAATTCCCGATTAATTCATGTGTATGATTGACATATTTGATTAATGTATATAAATTTTAGTATATTTTGAAAAGCGTTTTTAGAAAAATGGGACACACGTACTTGAGGAAAACCCAGCAAAAAAAGAATTTCCCAAAACAGCTAAATAACAAAGTTAAACTAATTTTTTGAGGTCTATATTTTTCTAACTATATAACAAAAATATTATTACTGATATAGTTTGGATGTGTGTCCCCTCCAAATCTTTTTTTTTTTTTTGGGAGACGGAGTTTCGCTCTTGTTACCCAGGCTGGAGTGCAGTGGCGTGATCTCACTGCAACCTCCGTCTCCTGGGTTCAAGCAATTCTTCTGTCTCAGCCTCCCAAGTAGCTGGGACTATAGGCATGCATCACCACACCCAGCTAATTTTTGTATTTTTAGTAGAGACAGGGTTTCACCATGTTGACCAGTATGGTCTCGATTTCTTGACCTCATGATCCACCCGCCTCGGCCTCCCAAAATGCTGGGATTATAGGTGTGAGCCACCGCGCCCAGCCCCCTCCAAATATATGTTGAAATGTGACCTCTGATGTTGGAGGTAGGCCTGGTGGGAGGTGTTCAGATAATGGAGGTGGACCCCTCATGAATGGCTTGGTGCCATCCTTTTGGTAATGAGTGATTTCTCACTCTGGTAGTTGATGTGAAAGCTGGTTGTTTAAAAGAGCTAGCACTTTCCTCATCTTTCCTGTGACAGACATTCTGGCTCTCCATTTGGTTTCTGCCTTGATTGTAAGTTTCCTGAGGCCTCACTAGGAGTGGATGCTGGCACCATGCTTCCTCTACAGCCTGCAGAACTATAAGCCATAATAAACATCTTTTCTTTATAAATTACCCAGTCTCAAGCATTTCTGGCAACACAAGAGTGGACTAACACAATTACCTTATAACTTTAGTGACTTATCTCTTGGTAATGTGAGCAGTGTCTGGAGTTTGGTGTGGCTTGACTAGACTTGGAGTCATTATATATGAATTCTTCTTATTTTGCCGGATGTGGGGCTGTTGTCTTCATAATTGTTTTGCCATGATTTCTCCAGCTTTATAAGCTATTTCTTTAACAGATTAAAAAACTGAAAGAATTACGTTCTATGCTGATGGAACAAGATCCTGATGTGGCTGTTACTGTTCGAAAGCTGGTAATTGTTTCTCTGATGGAATTATTTAAAGATATTACTCCTTCATATAAAATCCGGCCCCTCACAGAAGCAGAAAAATCTACTAAGGTAATTCTAGATTGCTAGATATAATTACATCTGAAATAACTAAAAATTGTGGAGAAATAGACTTTTTTTTTTTTGAGGCAGAGTTTTGCTCTGTCACCCAGAGTGGAGTACAGTGGCACAATTTCTGCTCACTGCAACTTCTGTCTTCGAAGTTCAAGCCTCAGCATCCCAAGTAGCTGGAATTACAGGTGCATGCCACACTGGCTAGCTAATTTTTGTATTTTTATTAGAGATGGGGTTTCCCCATGTTGGCTGGGCTGGTCTCAAACTCCTGACCTCAGGTGGTCCACCTGCCTCAGCCTCCCAAAGTGCTGGGATTACAGGCATGAGCCACCGTGCTTGGCCCAAATGACTGCTGCGTTTTTTTTTTTTTTTTTTTTTTTTTTGAGACGGAGTTTCGCTCTTGTTAACCCAGGCTGGAGTGCAATGGCGCGATCTCGGCTCACTGCAACCTCCGCCTCCTGGGTTCAGGCAATTCTCCTGCCTCAGCCTCCTGAGTAGCTGGGATTACAGGCACGCGCCACCATGCCCAGCTAATTTTTTTGTATTTTTAGCAGAGACGGGGTTTCACCATGTTGACCAGGATGGTCTTGATCTCTCGACCTCGTGATCCACCCGCCTCGGCCTCCCAAAGTGCTGGGATTACAGGCTTGAGCCACCGCGCCCGGCGCGTTTTTTGTTTTTTTAAAAATAGTACTGGCTGTATACTAGACACCCATATTTTATGCTAATTTTGGGGTTTTAATATTCTGATTTAAAAAAATGATTGACCTTTTTGGTATTTTCAGATCCGAAAAGAAACCCAGAAGTTAAGAGAATTTGAAGAAGGCCTGGTTAGCCAATACAAATTTTATTTGGAAAATCTGGAACAAATGGTTAAAGGTATATTAAACATATCTTAAAAGTATGTAACATACTTTTGGCCTTGATGATGAAAGTGAATTCTGTACAATGTTCTATGTCGTGTAGTGATAGGCAGGCATAGTCAGGAGCAGAATCTAGGGTCAGACTTCCTGGGCTCAAATCCTGGCTCTACCACATACTACCTATGTGATGAGAAAATTACATAGGTTTTTTTTGAGATGGTGTCTCACTCTGTCACCTAGGCTGGAGTGCAATGGCGCAATCTTGGCTCACTGCAACTTCCACCTCCTAGGTTCAAGTACAATTCTCCTCCCTCAGCCTCCTGAGTAGCTGGGACTACAGGCACACACCACCACACCCAGCTAATTTTTGTATTTTTAGTAGAGATGGGGTTTCATCATATTTTGGCCAGGCTGGTCTCAAACTCCTGACCTTATGATCCAACTGCCTCGGCCTCCCAAAGTGTTGGGATTACAGGCATGAGCCACCACGCCTGGCAAAAAATTACATAGTCTTTCTGTGTCTCACTTTTCCTGTCTATAAAATGGAAATAATTATAGTACTTACCTCCCAGTATTGTAGGAAGTAACTGAGTTTGTAGATAGAAGGTGATTGAAACAGTGCCTGGCATGTACTACACACTGTATTTTATCAACTACTAGTATTGTTGCTGCAGTTCTTTACTTAGTAGTTGTATTTTTGTTGACTACAATGCATTCAACAAAATTCATTGTTATGAACAGTTGGGATTTATTCTGCTGTTTTTTGTTTGGAGGCAAGGTAGTCAGGAAAGGATAACTAAAGGCCAGGCATGATGGGTCACACCTGTAACCCCACCCAATGCTTTTGGAGGCCACGGCAAGAGGATTGCTCCAAGCCAGGAGTTTGAGAACAGCCTGGGGGATGTAGTGAGACTCCTGTCTCTCAAAAAAAAAAAAAAAAAAAAAAAGAAAAATTAATCAGGCATGATGACCTATGCCTATAGAGTCCCAGCTATTCAAGATCTGAGCTGAGAGGATCACTTGAGCCCAGAAGTTTGAGCTTCCAGTGAGCTTTGATTATGCCACTGCACTCTACTGTGGGCAATAGAGTGAGACCCTGTCTCAAATGAAATGAATAAATAAGGATAACTAGAAATGGATATTTGCATGCTTTGAGTCAATTATTTGGCTGATAAGCTCTTTTTTCCCCCCATAACTTTTCTCTTGAGTTATGTGTGATGAGCATGATAAACTCTTAAACTCTTTTCTTCAGAAAAGGAAGGATTTAGAAAAAATAGGGGTAGGAATGGGAAGATAGTTGATTGCCTAGGCCAGGTGCTTTCGTTTGGCCTATTTGGCTCATTTATCCAGCTTATTTGCTAAGGATTACCTATTGCTATCAGCTGGAACAGGACTGCTGAATCCCACTGGCCTGATAAGGGGTAACGGTGGTGGAGTATAGTGGGGTGGGGGTGGGTAGTGTGGATATTGCTTCTATGTTCCGATGTTCCAGCTCTACCCCTATTAGCATTTGTTCTTCCAGTGATAAGTCCTGGGGCTTTTCTTTCATTTTTTGAATTTCTGAACTGTTGAGAAAGCTCCTGGGAGCTTTGTGGAATCATCTCTCTCTGATAGAACTATACCGGGAGCCACTTAATGTCATTTAAAAAAAATGCAGACACACTTAAAAGCAATGAAATTAATTTTAATAGTACATTGTATATATTCAGATTATCATTTCAACATGTAGTCAATTTTAAAAATTAGCGAGATGTCTTAACATTCTTATTTTTTTTAGTACTAAGTTCAAATCTGGTGTGCATTTTATATTTACAGCATATCTTAATTTGGACTAGCCGTATTTTAAATCCTAAGTTGCTGACTACATGTGGCAATTAGCAGCCTCCATATTGGATCTTTCCTAAGCACTTTGAAGTCTTTTTTTAAGTGGTGGGGGGGAATGTGTTTGTGTGTTTATGTGTCTTAAAATGTACATTGATTGTAAAAGAAAGCCAATTAGTTTAACTTTTGACCAATGAGTAAAGTAACTACATTATCTTTTGATTAGACTGGAAGCAGAGAAAGCTGAAGAAAAGTAATGTAGTTTCCTTAAAGGCATACAAAGGACTGGCAGAAGTCTCTGTGAAGAGCTTGTGTGAGCTGTTGGTGGCACTATCTCATTTTAACTTTCACAACAACATCATTGTATTGATTGTCCCTCTTATGAATGATGGGTCAAAATCGGTGAGTTGCTCTAAATGGTTATTGCTGTCCTCCTTAGCAGAAAATTAAACACTGTGTGATTTTTATCCCCCTACAAAATTCTTGTGAAGTTATTTATTGGTAAAATAATGTCAATTTATTAAACACTGTCTTTCTGAAGAAAAGTAGCTGAACATAAGATTAGTGATTCACAACAGGAAGCAAATTTGTCCCTCAGGGAACATTAGGCAATGTCTGCATACATTTTCAATTGTGTCAACTTGTAGAGATGGAGTCCAACTACTGGCATGTAGTGGAGAAAGTCCATGGAGGCTTTTAAACATCCTGGGACAGCCCCCCTACAGCAAAGAATTCTCTTACCCAAAATGTCAATAGGGCTAAGGTTGAGAAACACTGGTTAAGTGTGACATTTTATTTTTCAGATATCTGAAATGTGTTGTGAAGCTGTAAAGAAACTCTTTAAACAAGATAAATTAGGCCAAGCTTCTCTTGGTGTAATTAAAGTGATTTCTGGTTTTGTGAAGGGCAGAAATTATGAAGTTAGGCCAGAGGTGAGCCTTTTTTCACTTTGTATTTCATTTGTTTTTAAATTACAAAGTTGATTTTCAGTTGTTATGAGGAATTTATTCCTTATAAGTGTATGAAGTAAAAAGTATTCAAGCTCCTTAAGTGTTTAACATGTTAACTCCTGAAATGTTTGATACTATTAACAGTTTGATATATATCCTTCTAGATGTTTTTCTTTGCAGATATAGTCGTAAATGCTTGCTTATATTTTAAAATAAAAAATGGCTTATACTTTGAAAACTGTTCTGGAACTGTTTTCATTTTCTATATGGTGAACTTGTTTATAGGGTTATTCCAGTCTTTCTGATGCCTGCCAGAGTATTCTATTGTGTGACTTTAAAGCCCCCTACTTGATGAACAGCTGTGTTTTTTCTAGATTTTTGCTGTCATAGTCATTGTTGATTACATTTTGGCCATATTATTTTTTCATATTGTTTGCGTATTCTGTGAATGAAATTTCTAAAGTGTAGATGCTGGATCCAACAGTAACCACATATACAAACTCAAATTGTCTTTCAGAAACATTTTATCACTGTGTTCCTGCTAGGGATATGAGTGTCAGTTCCCCACTACCTGCTCAGAATGTTACTATTTATTCTTTGTTAGTCTGATAAGTGAAAATTTGTGTGTGTGTGTGTGTGTGTGTGTGTGTGTGTGTGTGTGTGTATGTATATACATATAAACTTTTTTTGTATATAAACTTTTTTACATGCTTATTATTTGTTTGTTTTTCTCTTAAAGCAGTTGCCTTAATGATTTGTGATAATTTTTTAGTACCTGTTCATTTTAATAAATATCTGCTATGTGTCAGGCACTTTTTTAGGTCGTGGGAATAAAATAGTAGCAGAAGAAACAAAACTATGTGTTCGTGGAGCTTGCATTACATAGAAGGCATATTAACTCTTTTTTACATAGGTGGCAGATTTTTCTCTTTTTTACTCTGCCTTTTAATTTTATATTGAGCCTAATATTAGAGGCTATATTTTTGTTATGCACATAGCCTCCTCAATCCAGATTTATAGATTCTCTTCAAGATTTTTAATTTAATTTTTATATTTAAATATTGAAGCCATTTGATATCTTTGTGTGTGTGGGATGAATACAGATTTAATATCTGTGTTTAATATATGTAATGAATATATATTTCTGTATAGTCTAATGCATATTAAATATTTATGTTATTGTGTATGCAGAATAATTTGACAGCCAGTTATTTCATCCCTATTTTTTTCTGCTGATATAAAATGCTGCTTAATTACTGTGTTATATCTTAGTATATTTGGTTATCTGGTATAATAATACTAATCAGAATGGGTATAATTGATAAGACATGACTATTCTTTTTTCTCCAAAATATTCTTCTTTATTTCTGTATATTACTCCAGACAGTTTAGAATCGGTTTTTCACTTCCTTCTCTCAAAATAGTCCACACAGAGAATCTGATTAGAATTGATTCAATGCATTGATTAGTTTGGAAGAAGTAAAATATTTACAGAATTGATTTTTTTTCTATTCAAGAATATCGTATCTTACCATTTATTTAAGACTTCTTTTATGTTCTAAGTGAAATTTTGTAGTTTTCTTCTTTGGGGTCTTAGACATTTTAATTTGTTTTTAGTAATGTAGTTTTGGGTGTTAAGCTATTCTACTGTTTTATTTTCAGATTTCACAGTTTTCCTTTGGCATCAGATCCCTTTTTATTTTTTAAAACTGATTGCTTCAGTTGAATTGCTAGAATTATAAATACTGAATGAAAGTAACAGAACATATTTAGTATCTTTATTCAGAATTGTAGAGCAATCAGATAACGCCTGAACAGGAAACTCAGCCATAGGAAAACTCTCTAACTTTCGTGATGCTAGAATAAAAACTACATCTTTTAGAGTTATTTTTCATTGGTAGGTGATATTTTGAGCATCATGCAGTACCTACAAAATATTCAGAGTTGATCTTTCTGATACCTAGAATGACTTCAGGTTCACTCTTTATGCCTGCAGTTACTCCTTTTTGCCCTGTAATTCCAGATACTCAGCTTTCTTCCAGATGTGCATTTTGGAATGTCAAAATAGTACAAACCTGTAGTTCTCAAGGTTTTGTTGCAGGAATGCTGCTGTGCCTGCAGGAGGTCAGTAAGGTGATTCATCCAGAGAAGTGTAGCATTTTAAACCCCTTTTGTTCCAAGTGTTTGAGTATGAAAAGGTTGCAGTATCGCACAAAATACTGGTTTCCAAATTAGTTTGTGAATTTTTGAAGGGTTTAAAGCAGTAGTTTTTAATTTTGTCCCCGGAGCAGCATCAGCTGGGAATTAGGATGCAAATTCTGAGGCTCAACTCAGACCTACTGAATCAGAAACTCTGGGAATAGGGCCCAGCAATTTGTGTATCTTCTCTAAAGGTCCAAACCTTTTTCTGGCCTATTTTCTCTTTGTCATCCTATTGGCCAATGCCCAGTAACGTGTTCTCTCTTCCTCATACTCACTAAACTGCAAGAAAGTTTTATATATTTAGCTAGTATTTGCTAGTGTCCTTTTTGTATATTTGCTCCTGTCCTCCAAGTTTTTGAATATAGCATACAGATAAAAGAACTTCGTGTAAAATGTTATAAAAGATGTTTGAAAGTTTTTTTGCATGAGTGAGGGAAATAACATTGTTAAATACTTTTCTACGTAAAGTGTTTGAGGGTAATAGAAATATTCACCTGTATATTTGTGTTTTTTTTTTCAATATTAGATGTTAAAAACATTTTTATGCCTAAGAATCAAGGAAGTAGAAGTGAAAAAAGATACAGAAGACATTAATAAACCAAAAAAATTTATGACTTTCAAAGAAAAGAGAAAAACTCTATCAAGAATGCAGAGAAAGGTTTGCTTTATTTCCTCTTTTGTTTCATTTAAATTTTCTGTTTATTTGATCTTAGATGAAAATTATAGGCACAGATAAAAATTATAGTTAAATCATAAATATGAAAGTTTTGAAATACATCTTTTAGAGAATTTTATCTTCTCCCAGTTACTGCAAAAAAGTGTTTTCTTATATCAGTTTTAACTGATAATGATTGGCAAGGAGAGCAGTAGGTGAAAAGATATTTTTGCCATGTTGGCTTTTATCCTTTGGCTTTTTAGATGAATTTAGAATTGTGATACACAGATTCCTTCCTTAACAGAAAAGATTCATTCATGTCAAGTTGGCAGCAAAATGAGTTTATGTTAATTGAATCTTGTTTCTTTATTGGTTTATATTTTAAACCTGGGTTGAAATTTCAGCCTCTTGCTTATTTACTGAAACTTTGGAAACTTTTTTTTTTTTTTTTGAGAAATGGGGCAAATAATAGTACCTACCTTACAGGTTAATTGTGCAGTTTAAAGGAGATGATGTATATAAAACACTTGGCAGGCCGGGCGTGGTAGCTCAACGCCTGTAATCCCAGCACTTTGGGAGGCCGAGGCGGGTAGATCACGAGGTCAAGAGATTGAGACCATTGTGGTCAACATGGTGAAACCCCGTCTCTACTAAAAATACAAAAAATTAGCTGGGCATGGTGGCTCCTGCCTTAATCCCAGCTACTCAAGAGGCTGAGGCAGGAGAATTGCCTGAACCCGGAAGCTGGAGGTTGTGGTGAGCCGAGATCACGCCATTGCACTCCAGCCTGGGTAAGTAACAAGAGCGAAACTCCGTGTCAAAAAAAAAAAAAACAACACTTGGCAGGCTTTATAAACATTAGTTGTTACTACCACTACCATCATCACATTACTGTTATCATCACATTTCAGAATATTTCTGAACAGTTTATTAGAGTTATCAAGTTGTTTGTTAAAACAAAAGTTATTTCTGGGGATATTCATCTTTGAATGGGTCTCATTTTGAAAACTTGATGGAAGTGTCAAAATAGACAATAATTGTGAACAAAAGAAGATAAATATTTTAACTATTTATATCATATTGTCCTAATGCTGAATGGATAGCTTTGTTAGGAATAGCATGTATATAGATGTGGTGGTGGAGAAACAAAGACCAGTAAGAACGTGGCAGCTCTTTAACAAGTTCTCATGAGAGAAGGAAACTATTTCTCAGTTTCCTCTGCCTCAGGCAGCTTAGACATTGTCATTTATGCTGGGCACTATGGCTCACGCCTGTAATCCCAGTACTTTTGGAGATTGAGTCGGGCAGATCACGAGGTGAGGAGTTCGAGACCAGCCTGACCAACATGGTGAAACCCTGTCTCTACTAAAAATAGAAAAATTGGCCGAGCATGGTGGTGGGTGCCTATAATCCCAGCTACTCAGGAGGCTGAAGTGGGAGAATGTTTGAACCCGGGAGGTGAAGATTGCAGTGAGCTGACATTGTAACACTGCACTCCCTCCTGGGCAACAGAGCGATCCCGTCTCAAAACAACAACAACAACAAAAAACAGTAAAAAGAAATTGTTGTTTACTGGTTGTACAGCATTAGGAAGTAGAAGAAAAAAAGTAGAAGAACTTTTATTGAATTTCTTTATAGTATTTGGTTTTATGCATTGTATGTAAATGTGTTGGGGAAATATTCTTGGTGACTGGCTCCCATGTTATAGGTGATTTAACCCTAGGCATTATTTTTGGGCTCAACATGTTCTTTCCTTTCTTTTTTGAAAAACTTTAATTGAAATTATAGAAAATGATAGCATATCTCAGATATTCACCATTTAGAATGAGCAAATATTAATAGATTTACCTTAATTTTTTTTTTCTGGAAAAGAAGGAAACCATAGGTGAAAGAGTAGGAATTTCTTTTGTTTCTCTCTCCAACCTCATACTTCTGCCTTCCTCCCAGGAAACACCATCTTTACTTTGGTTTGTGTATAGTTCCTGTCCATGATTCTCTCCTTTTGTTTATATTTGCATTCATAGACAATATGTGGTATTACTGTATATGTTTTGTGACAGTTACATATTCTGCCTCTGCTTTTTTCACTCTGGTATATACTCTTAGATTTTTTGTTTTTCAATCTATTTTCAGTGGAAGAAAGCAGAAGAGAAACTAGAGCGAGAGCTTCGAGAGGCAGAAGCTTCAGAGAGTACTGAGAAAAAACTCAAACTGGTAGGCAGTTGCACATTCTGTTATGCTTTGAAAATGCGTTATTTAAACTAGAAATTTATTGTGTTAGCTTGTTAGCTGTATAATTTTGGTTTCTTTCATGAGGCTTAGATGTGTGACTTTTGTGATGTGCAGGAAACTATAATGTGATCAGTGCTAGTTTTATGAAATCACAGGATGTATAACCTTATACATCCTGCTTTGTTAAAAATTTCAAAGATTGCATTGTGGGGAGGGATGGGTAGGAAAAAGAAGTTTAAGCTGTTGAAGTTATAGTTATGTTCACTCAGGAGAAGGCACACCAGGTTATCCTAAAGTCATTTTGTCTGTCTTCTCTGCCAGCACACAGAGACTCTGAATATTGTGTTTGTAACCTACTTCAGAATATTGAAGAAGGCCCAGAGGTCACCTCTCCTGCCAGCAGTTCTAGAAGGTCTTGCCAAGTAAGGGCTATGTAGGTTGAAACCTTTTAGATACTTTCTAAATGGGAAAGACCAAAGAATTGTATAGGTTTCACTAATGATGGACCATTATCTTCAGTTCTCATTCTTTTTCTGTTTTCATCAAGCTATTCATAACAGTGGGCTTTTTTGGTTTTCAAACCTTTTATTTTTAAAACCTCCTTTACCAACTCCTTTCTTCTGCCTGCTAATTTCTAGGTGAGCCTAAGATTAAGTCTCTCAGTTCTTGACACTTTTGCACTGGGTAGTCAATTGCCCATCATCATAGTTTGAGTGCATCATGCAGATGACTCTTAAGTCTATTTTAACCTGGCTGTACATCATTCCTCTGGTTCCACGTAATCTGTTTCTGCTAAGATAGATCTTTTTGTGTATTCATTCAACACTAATGGCCTTGTCAGGATATGAGCTAGAGTAAGGGTTATGGTTGTTATGATAGCGCTCCACAATTTTTTGAGGTGGTGTCCTATGGAGCATTGCTGTTAGGTAAAAATACAATGTGAACTAACATCTGTAATTTAAAATTTTCTGTTAGCCACGTTAAAAAGATAAACAGCTAAAATTAATTTTTATGTATTTTTCCAGATTTATCTAAGGAATTTTAACACAGTATTAAACATTAATTAGATGTTTGGTGTTTTTTTTTTTAATAACATCTCTTTGAATATTGTTGTTATATTTTACACTTACATCTTAATTTGGATTAGCTACATTTTAAGTGCCTAATAGCCACACGTGGCTAGTGGCTACCATTGTTAGGCAGTACAGCTTTAGGAATAGAGTTGGAAATAGGACTGATGGCTAGAAGATACAGAAAAGGCAAGTTCTGTTCATCATAAATTACTTTCTAATAACTGGAGCTATTTGGCAATGCTATGGGTTTCCTTATATGGCAATATGGTCCTTGTGGTTCAAAGAGAGGCTGGTCAGAGAAGGGATTATTCCTACATTGTGTAGGACCTGTTGTTTTTGTTTTTGTTTTGAAATAGAGACGAGGTCTCACCATATTGCTCAGGCTGATCTTGAACTCCTGAGTGATCCTCCAGCCTTGACCTCACAAAGTGCTAGAATTATAGGTGTGAGCCACCACACCCAGCCCAGCTATTTGCTTTTTTAATGACCAATTCCTTTATTTAAAAAAGTTTAAAAAATAATAAATGCTCATTTACAGAATTTAAATGCATCAAAAGAATGTAAAATTTAAAATTGCAAGCTTCCTCTTCTGTATATGTATGTAGGTCCGTCTGCCTGCCATCTGCCATCTTTTTTCTTTTTTTTGAGATGGAGCCTTGACCCGTTGCCCAGGCTGGAGTGCAATGGCACGATCTCGGCTCACTGCAACTTCCACTCCCAGGTTCAAGCGATTCTCCTGCCTCAGCCTCCTGAGTAGCTGGGATTGCAGGCATGTACCACCACGCCCAACTAATTTTTTAAAATCTGTAGTAGAGATGGGGTTTCACTACATTGGCCACGCTGGTCTCGAATTCCTGACTTTGTGATCCACCTGTCTCAGCCTCCTGAAGTTCTGGGATTAAAGGTGTGAGCCACCAGACCTGGCCTTTTTAAACATTTTTTTTAAGAGAAAGAGTCTTGCTCTCTTGCTCAGGCTGGATTGCAGTGGCATAATCTGAGCTAACTGCAAACTTCCTCAGCCTCCCAAGTAGCTGGGACTACAGGTATGTGCCACCATTCCTGGGTAATTTTTGTATTTTTAGTAAAGACTGGTTTTCACCATGTTGGTCAGGCTGGTTTCGAACTCCTGACCTCAGGTAATCCACCTGCCTCGGCCTCCCAAAGTGCTGGGATTATAGCCATGAGCCATTGTGCCTGGCCTGCCTGCCATCTCTTATGCAAATGGAATCATGCTGTTTAGTGTCCTGTAACTTGCCTTTTGTTTTGTTTTGTAAACAGTTACTTTTGGTACCTTTCCCTTAGCACATACATATCACTTAATTAAAAAAAATTTATAATTCTCCATTTTATAGATACATGGTACTTTATTTGGTCAGTCTCCTATTGGCGCTGGAAATACTTGTGTGTGTGTGTGTGTGTGTGTGTTTTATATATGTGTGTATATCTTCATGCATGTGTGTGCATGTATTGCCAGATCAAAGGGTATGCTCATTTTAAATTTTGTTGAATAATTACCAAATTGCTTCTCCAGAAAGTTGTACCATCATGGAATATATCACTCATAAGGTCTTTTATTGTTCTTAAGATTTACGTAAGTCAAAGACTTCTTGCTAATATTGAAGACATGTCCTGACTTTAACCTACTTCAGGGTCTAATGTAGTGTATGGAGTAACTCTCGAATTTAGCAGCTCATATGATTCTTCTTTTTTAACCTCATTAAGTGGTCTTAATTATTTCTACAAATAGAGGCGCGGTTCAGCACTAGGATCATGCAAGTAATTATGAGCAGAGCCTGAACTAGATACTAGGTCCAGTATTCTTTCCATTTTATCTTTATAGCTGTCATGAGGTCCATGTTCTTGTAAATAGCATCCTCATCTCTCTTCCCACCACCTGTTTTCTTAGAAGCTGATCTCACTCAATACCTAGTAAATTTTCTTCAGGAAGTTGTTTGCTTCTAGTAATTTCTTTCTCAGGGCAGAAGGATTTTTGAAATATTTTTAGTCTGTTCAGTGCCTTGTATATTCCTATTAAGTTTAGTGTTCAGTGGTGCATGAATTATTGAAGAGGCCAATATGAATTAATGAAAAGTATTAATATTGCCATCTCTTTCATAGCTAACATTTTGAAATAAAGAATATTAAAAATGCAGTTTAAATGTCAAAGTTAATTTATACTAACTTTATTTCTGCTTTTAGTTTATTGATTAACTAAGTTTTGTTTGATTCCAGGTTTGCTCACCTTATAAATGTGGAGTTTTTTGATGATTTATTAGTAGTTCTTCATACACTCATTGAGTCTGGTGTAAGTATTAATACATTACTTTTTAAAAGATATAAATAGTAATTGCTATTTAAACATTTTTTTGTCAGATTTATTGAGATATGTTTTGTATACAGTAAAACTCACCCCTTTTAGATACGCAGTTTATGAATTTTGACAAAGGCCTATGATTATGTGATTACCACCACAATCAAGATGTAGAACATTTTCAATCATTAGAGAGTTTTAAGCGGAGGGTTACCTGACCTGTTTTATTTTTTTTTAATTGATACATAATAGATGTATACGGTTTCAGGGTATATGTGATAATTTAATGTATTCAGATAATGTAGTTTGTAAAGATTTTACTTGGGGTATGAATCACCTTAAATATGTGTCTTTATGTGACAACCATTCACATTCTTCCCTTCTAGCTATTTAAAAATATATAATAGATTATTGTAAACTATAGTCACCCTATTGAACTGTCTCATACTAGGTTATCTTCAAGATAACCTTTACAGCAGGCGTCCCCAAACTATGGCCCGCAGGCCCCATGCGGCCCCCTGAGGCCATTTATCCGGCCCCTCGCCGCACTTCAGGAAGGGGCACCTCTTTCATTGGTGGTCAGTGAGAGGAGCACAGTATGTGGCGGCTCTCCAACGGTCTGAGGGTACAGTGAACTGGCCCCCTGTGTAAAAAGTTTGGGGACGCCTGCTTTATAGGTCTTTTTTTTTCTTTTTTGAGATAGGGTCTCACTCAGTTGCCCGGGTTGGAGTGTAGTGGTACGATCATAGCTCACTGCAGCCACTACCTCCCAGGGCTCAGGTGAGCCTCCCTCTTCAGTCTCTTGAGTAGCTGGGACTACAGGTGTGTGGTTCTATTTTTCTAAAGATGGGTTTTGCCATGTTCCCCAACCTTGTCTTGAACTCCTGGGCTCAAACGGTCTGACTTCCTCAGCCTCCTAAATTGCTGAGATTACAGGGGTGAGTCATTGCTCCTGGCCTTAAAGTTCTTTTTTAAACATATAAATGGTAATTACCATTCTTAATATTTCATCCCCTCTCCGTTTTTTAAGGACCTAAGCTATCAAGAAAGTCTTCACTGTGTCCAGACTGCTTTTCATATTCTTTCTGGACAAGGTAAGATATTTTCTTAATCAAATTTTTATTTGGAAATGTGTGTGTGTGTGTGTGTGTGTGTTATAGCATACCTTTGGATGCTCTAACATACCTAATTGGTGTTCGTTGTCATTTCAAAGGTGATGTTCTGAATATTGATCCAATGAAATTCTACACTCATCTTTACAAAACACTGTTCAAGTTACATGCAGGTATGTGTATGTTTAAGTAATGTTTCTTTTATACATATTTATGTTTTAAGAATATGTTATGATCAGTCATTGTAGACAAATGAGAAATAGGAACAGGTACATAAATGCTGACCTGCCAGTGCCATGCGTCTATATTTAATCTTATGTAAGACTTGGAGAAAGCGCTTTTGGAATTGACTGGGGATGCAGTAAGTATAACCTGCTGCCTCTCCTTAGCAGTACAGCACTACCTCATTGATTAGGGAAATGGTTTGGGGCAGGAACCATAGTTTATCTTGGGTTTATCTGAAGGTCAGTCTGGTTGCATAAGGAAAAAGTAATGAGAATGGCTCTGAAGGGTATGTCTGCTGTTTTAGGTGCTACCAATGAAGGTGTTGAGATTGTACTCCAGTGCCTTGATGTCATGCTAACTAAGCGCAGAAAGCAAGTTTCTCAGCAGCGAGCCCTTGCCTTTATCAAACGCCTTTGTACCCTTGCTCTTCATGTTCTTCCAAATTCAAGTATTGGCATTTTAGCAACTACCAGAATATTAATGCATGTAAGTAGTGATACAAATGAACAGAGCCAAGTTGTTATAATGCAATGAATTTTTTTTTGATGCATGTCTTCTTTTTCCTCCATTTACATTATCATTTCAATTACAGAAGTAATTCACACTTGTAACAAAATCAGGTGACAAAAGAAGTACATAAAATTGTAAAAGCATTTTATACCTATTGACACTTCTCAGAGTGTCATTAGATGAGTCTCCATTTACCATTTTGTGAGTATTTTTCCAGCAGCCTTTTAAAGTTCATATGTAAACACATACACTACACGTAGAAACAACACAACATTTTTTTTTAATGGAAAAGGGATTATGCTATATATTCTACCACTTTTTTAACCTTAGCATTTAATCATGGTAAACACATTATTATGTCAGCACAAATATCACTACTCTATTTCATTAATGATTAAGGTTTATTTAGTTCTTTGCTTAACAAACACATAGTTCTGACTGTATGCCTTCCACTTTTATAAATGCTTTATAAAAATTTAATTTTCATAACTCTTGAGATAGCCAGTTTTACATGTGGGAAAACTGAGGTCCAGAGAGGTTAAGTGTCTTGCCTTGAGTAGCACTGCTAGTCAGTGGTAGAAGTGACACAAATGTAGGCAGTGTGGTTTTTCTGCTTCTGTTTCTCTTTTGCCATTACAAATGATGCTATAGAGAATACCTTTATATAAAATTTATCTGATATAATTATTTCTATAAGATTCCTAAAAGTGGGATTTCAAGGTGAAAAGAATATTGTTTTCTTTTGCCTGATAAATTCTCAAAGCAAGCCAAGATAAAATATATTTTTTGCAGCTCTTATGATATAAACTTAAATTGTTTTATTGAAACTAGGTGTAAAGACTTTATGCTAAAGCTCTTATACAATCATAAATTTAAATGCAAATACAACAACAAACCAGTAACACCTGTTACATTAACAGGGTTAATTTAACCACTTCTTTTTATGTGACATTTTTGCAGACTTTCCCCAAAACAGATCTACTGCTTGACAGTGAATCTCAGGGAAGTGGAGTTTTCCTCCCTGAACTGGATGAGCCTGAGTACTGCAATGCTCAGAACACTGCTCTGTGGGAACTGTATGCACTGCGGGTAAGAGTGGCCCTGGGTTTTTTCTTTTTGGGGATGTGTGTGAACAATTTTTTTCCAGTTTTTCTTCAAATAGTTGTTATTACCAGAATACTTAATTATATTTTGTTCGTGGGCTGCCTTTTTTAGAGTTCCTGTTTTAGTACACGACATTTTATTTTGTTCTTACTGTTCTTTAAGCTGTTGAGGTACATTTTCTAAAGAAGGAGAAAACCGTGTCAGTTCTGTAGGGTGCAGCTGTGGAAGATTTATTGAAATCTTTCCCTAACACTCTTCAGAGGATTTGTTATCAGGTGCATTTCTGTTGAGTCCTATCCAAGGAGATTTTAGTAAGCTCTGTTTCAAGATAGATTCATGTATACAGTGATCCTACAGTATGGACAGCATTAGAGTGAGACTTGTAGAAAATATGTCAGGTAACCTGTTGTAAATCAACTTCCACTCTGAAAGAGGAATTGCTTTTTGATTTTTCTTTTTATATTGTAAAAGCAAGACTAAACTACATCACTGGTAACTTGATTTGTTTTAATCCTGTGAGCAAAGATGATCATCTCTCTGTAGGTAATGTACTTCTAATCAATTACATACACTGTACATAGGTGACTAAAACAATTGGTATAATTTTATTTAAGAAAATAATTGCTGTGGATAGTGTTTTTTGTAAAGGACTGACCTGTGCAAAATGTGATTGTCCCATTTCCCATTCAGAGGCATTATCATCCCATAGTGCAGAAATTGGCAGCTCACCTGATCGCTGGAGCACCTTCCGAAGGCTCTGAAGCACTCAAACCAGAGTTGAGTCGAAGGTAATATTTAGCATTGCCTTATTCTAAAACTACAGAATTCAGCTGATAGCCACTTATTATAAGAAGTCTGTTTTATAAAGTAATATATTACAAAATGTGAAGTGCCACTTGGGTATCTGGATTGGTCTTGCTTCATATTTCTTAATTGTTCTCAAAGAAAACATGCTGACTATGATTTTGTTAATCACTTAAAACATTTCTTTTTTTCTTCTATCATTCAACTTGAAAAACATTTAAACATTTTTTTAATCATGAAAAGTTTCACACCTACAGAATATTACAATGGCATAGTGCACGGCCTTATGCCCCCCATCAGTCAGGTTCAACAGTGAATAAGATGTGGCTTCATGTGAAGATAAAACACAAGTCAACCAAATTAAGCTTCTTGTTTTCTCCCCTCACTGTATGTCCCCCCACCCCCGTTAGGGCAGATGAGGAGAAATTGGTCCTGTTAGGGCAAGACGGGGAGAAAAAAAAAGGAGAGGGAAGAAAAAAGATGCTTTGGAAGAATCCCATCCAGAATGGCAGCTGTTTCTTTTTTTTGCCCTTGCAAAATATTTCCTGACCTATAAGCAGCTTGGATGGGTACTTCCAGCTTCTACCTCACACCCTTCTAGATGGGGAAAAGTTCCTTCTAAAAGAAACTTCTTTCCCTGAACTGCTTACTTTGAAAATTTTCATAAATACAGAAAGGTGAAAAATAGTAATGACCTTATTTTACATACAGATAGGAAATACTTCAGTTATAGAGAGAAAGAGAAAATGGCATAAAAGATACCCTCAGTCCATTTATGCTGCCATAAAAAATGCCTTAGCCTGAGTTATTTATAAAGAGCAGAAAGTCGTTTTCTCACAATTCTGGAGGCTGGGAAGTTGAAGGTCAAGGTGCTGGTAGGTTTGGTTGACTGATGAGGGTGCCTCTCTACTTCTGAGATGGCATCTTGTTGCTGCATCTTCTGAAGGGGAGGAACTCCATGACCTCACGTGGCAGACCGGACAGAAGGGGAGCAGGGCCACAGCCTCACTGCATGAAGCCTCTTTTATAAAGACTTTAACCCATTTATGCCAGAGGTTGCAAATTTATGTGTGTGTGTGAAAATCAGACCTTGGCAATGACCTTGAGGAGTAGGATATAAATAACTTCTACCAGTGTAGAGTTCTGATAATGGAACACTAGGCATACATGGGTTAATCCCATTCATGGCTTAATCACCTTTTAGAGCTTTCACTGCTTAATACATTGACTATTAAGTTTCCATATCTGAATTTTGGAGGGAACACATTCAAACTATAGCACTGTGCAATGTACTCATTACCATATTTTGCTGTAGGGTTTTTTCTTTTGCAGGCCTATTGGTTTCTGTAGTTTAGAGATGACATATTGGTGACCTGTGATCACCAATCTGAAATATTGAAATAATTCACCTAAAATTCATATTTCCTGCTTTTCTTGAAATACTGGGAGGTTTGGTTACATTGGCTTGTATTTTACTTGGCAATAGTCAGTTGCTGCCTCCTCTACATAAGGCATGAACTCTGCAGTTTTCCATCAACCCTTTCTTTCTAAGTAGGATAGAGGTAACTTTTGGCATTATTAAATAATAAAATGGCCGTTTACTTTTTCTTCCCTCACACTTCTCACTTGTCCCCAATCTTCACCCCACCAGCCTTGTTTTTTTTTTTAATTGCATTTTAGGTTTTTGGGTATATGTGAAGAGCATGCAAGATTGTTGCATAGGTACACACATGGGAGTGTGATTTGCTGCCTTCCTCCTCATCACCTATATCTGGCATTTCTCCCCATGGTGTTTCTCCCCAACTCCCCACCCCCCTGCTGTCCCTCCCCTATTTCCCCTGACACACCCCAGGAGCTCCCCTCCCTGTATCCGTGTGTTCTCATTGTTCAATACCCGCCTATGAGTGAGAACATGTGGTGTTTAATTTTATGTTCTTGTGTTAGTTTGCCGAGAATGATGGTTTCCAGGTTCATCCACGTCCCTACAAAGGACACGAATTCATTGTTTTTTATGGCTGCATAGTATTCCATGGTGTATATATGCCACATTTTCCCTGTCCAGTCTATCATTGATGGGCATTTGGGTTGGTTCCAAGTCTTTGCTATTGTAAACAGTGCTGCAATGAACATTCGTGTGCATGTGTCCTTACAGTAGAACGATTTATAATCCTTTGGATATATACCCAGTAATGGGATTGCTGGATCAAATGGAATTTCTATTTCTAGGTCCTTGAGGAATCGCCACACTGTCTTCCACAGCAGTTGAACTAATTTACACTCCCACCAATAGTGTTCCTATTTCCCCACATCCTCTTCAGCATCTGTTGTCTCCAGATTTTTTAATGATCGCCCTTCTAACTGGTGTGAGATTGTATCTTAATGTGGTTTTGATTTGCATTTCTCTAATGACCAGTGATGATGAGTATTTTTTCATCTGTTTTTTTGGCCTCATATATGTCTTCTTTTGTAAAGTGTTCATATCCTTTGCCCACTTTTGAATGGGCTTGTTTTTTTCTTGTAAATCTGTTTTAGTTCTTTGTAGATTCTGGATATTAGCCTTTTGTCAGATGGGTAGATTGCAAAAGTTTTTTCCCATTCTCTTGGTTCCCGATTCACTCTAATGACTGTTTCTTTTGCTGTGCAGAAGCTGTGGAGTTTGATTAGGTCCCATTTGTCTATTTTGGCTTTTGTTGCCAATGCTTTTGGTGTTTTGGTCATGAAGTCCTTGCCTACACCTATGTCCTGAATGGTTTTACCTAGATTTTCTTCTATGGTTTTTATGGTGTTAGGTCTGATGTTTAAGTCTTGAATCCATCTGGAGTTAATTTTAGTGTAAGGTGTCAGGAAGCAATCCAATTTCTGCTTTCTGCACATGGCTAGCCAGTTTCCCAACACCATTTATTAAACAGGAAATCTTATCCCCATTGCTTGTTTTTGTCAGGTTTGTCAAAGATCAGATGATTATAGATGTGTGGCATTGCCTCTGAGGCCTCTGTTCTGTTCCATTGGTCTATATCTCTGTTTTGGTACCAGTACCATGCTGTTTTGATTACTGTTGCCTTGTAGTATAGTTTGCAGTCCGGTAGTGTGATGCCTCCTGCTTTGTTCTTTTTGCTTAGAATTGACTTGGCTATGCGGGCTGTCTTGGTTTCATAGGAAGTTTAAGGTGATTTTTCCCAGTTCTGTGAAGAAAGTCATTTGTAGCTTGATGTGGACAGCATTGAATCTGTAAGTTACTTTGGGCAGGTGGCCATTTTTGCAATATTGATTTTTCCTAACCATGAGCATGGAATGTTTCTCCATCTGTTTGTGTCCTATCTTATTTCCTTGAGCAGTGGTTTGTAGTTCTCCTTGAAGAGGTCCTTTATGTTCTTTGTTAGTTGAATTCCTAGGTATTTTATTCTCTTTGTAGCAATTGTGAATAGCAGTTCGTTCTTGATTTGGCTGTCTTTAAGTCTGTTACTGGTGTATAGAAATGCTTGTGATTTTTGCACATTGATTTTGTATCCTGAGACTTTGCTGAAGTTGCTTATCAGCTTAAGGAGATTTTGGGCTGAGTCAATGGGGTCTTCTAAATATACAATCATGTCATCTGCAAGTAGAGACAATTTGACTTCTTCCTTTGCTAATTGAATACCCTTTATTTCTTTTTCTTGCCTGATTGCTCTGGCTAGAACTTCCAATACTATATTGAATAGGAGTGGTGAGAGAGGGCATCCTTGTCTAGTGCCAGATTTCAAAGGGAATTCTTCCAGTTTTTGCCCATTCAGTATGATATTGGCTATGGGTTTCTCATAAATAGCTTTTATTGTTTTGAGATACGTTCCATCAATACCTAGTTTATTGAGAGTTTTTTAGCATAAAGAGCTGTTGAATTTTGTTGGAGGCCTTTTCTGCATCTATTGAGATAGTTATGTGGTTTTTGTCTTCGGTTCTGTTTATGTGGTGAATTACATTTATAGTCTTGCATATGTTGAACCAGCCTTGCATCCCTGGGATGAAACCTACTTGATCATGGTGGATAGGCTTTTCGATGTCCTGTTGCAATCGGTTTGCCAGTATTTTATTGAAGATTTTTACGACTATGTTTATCATGGATATTGGCCTGAAGTTTTCTTTTCTTGTTGAGTCTCTGCCAGGTTTTGGTATCAGGATGATGTTGGTCTCAAAATGATTTGGGAAGGATTCCCTCTTTTTGGATTGTTTGGAATAGTTTAAGAAGGAATGGTACCAGCTCCTCTTTGTATGTCTGGTAGAATTCGGCTGTGAACCCATCTGGACCTGGGCTGTTTTTGGGTGGTAGGCTATTAATTGCTGCCTCAACTTCAGCCCTTGTTATTGGTCTATTCAGGGTTTTGACTTCTTCCTGGTTTAGGCTTTGGAGGATGCAAGTGCCCAGGAATTTATCTGTTTCTTCCAGGTTTTCTAGTTTTTGTACACAGAGTTTGTAATAACTTCTGATGATGGTTTGTATTTCTGTGGAATCTATGGTGATATTCCCTTTATCATTTTTTATTGCATCTACTCGATTATTCTCTTTTCTTTTTTATTAATCTGACTAGTGGTCTATTTTGTTGATCTTTTTGAAAAGCCAGCACCTAGATTTATTGATTTTTTTTTTTTTTTTTTTGAAGAGTTTTTTCTCTATCTCCTTCAGTTCTGCTCTGATCTTAGTTATTTCTTCTGCTAGGTTTTGAGTTTTTTGATCTTGCTCTTCTAGCTCTTTCAATTTTGACGATAGGGTGTTTATTTTAGAACTTTCCTTGCTTCTCATGTGGGCATTTATTGCTGTATATTTTCCTCTAGACACTGCTTTAAATGTATCGCAGAGATTCTGGTATGTTTTGTCTTCGTTCTCGTTGGTTTCGAAGAACATCTTTATTTCTGCCTTCATTTCATTGTTTATCCAGTCAACATTCAAGAGCCAGTTGTTCAGTTTCCACGAAGCTGTGCAGTTCTGAGTTAGTTTCTGAATTCTGAGTTCTAACTCGATTGCACTGTGGTCTGAGAGACTGTTTGTTATGATTTTCATTCTTTTGCATTTGCTGCAGAGTGATTTACTTCCAATTATGTGGTCAATTTTAGAGTAGGTGAGATGTGGTGCTGAGAAGAATATATATTCTGTGGATTTGGGGTGGAGAGTTCTATAAATGTCTATTAGGTTTGCTTGGTCCAAGTCTGAGTTCAAGTCCTGGATATCCTTGTTAATTTTCTGTCTTGTTGATCTATCTAATGTTGACAATGGGGTGTTAAAGTGTTCCACTATTACTGTGTGGTAGTCTAAGTCTCTTTGTAAGTCATCAAGAACTTGCTTTATGTATCTGGGTGCTCCTGTATTGGGTGCGTATATATTTAGGATCGTTAGCTCTTCTTGTTGCATTGATCCTTTTACTATTACGTAATGGCCTTCTTTGTCAGCTTAAAGTCTATTTTTTTTTTTGAGACTGAGTTTCGCTCTTGTTACCCAGGCTGGAGTGCAATGGCGCGATCTCGGCTCACCGCAACCTCCGCCTCCTGGGTTCAGGCAATTCTCCTGCCTCAGCCTCCTGAGTAGCTGGGATTACAGGCACGTGCCACCATGCCCAGCTAATTTTTTGTATTTTTAGTAGAGACGAGGTTTCACCATGTTGACCAGGATGGTCTTGATCTCTCGACCTCGTGATCCACCCGCCTCGGCCTCCCAAAGTGCTGGGATTACAGGCGTGAGCCACCGTGTCCGGCTAAAGTCTATTTTATCAGAGACTAGGATTGCAACTTCTGCTTTTTTTTTCGCTCTCCATTTGCTTGATAAATCTTCCTCCATCCGTTTATTTTGAGCCTTTGTGTATCTTTGCACGTGAGATGGGTTTCCTGGATACAGCACAGCAATGGGTTTTGGCTTTTTATCCAATTTGCCAGTCTTTGTCTTTTGATGGGGGCATTTAGTCCATTTACATTTAGGATTAATATTGTTATGTGTGAATTTGATCCTGCCATTTTTATGCTACTGGCTGTTTTGTCCTTAATTGATGTAGTTTCTTCATTGTGTTGATGCTCTTTACCATTTGGCATGTTTTTGGAGTGGCTGGTACTGGTTGTTCCTTTCTATGTTTAGTGCTTCTTTCAGGATCTCTTGTAAAGCAGGTCTGGTGATGATAAAATCTCTGAGCAATTCCTTGTTTGTAAAGGATTTTATTTCTCCTTTGCTTATGAAGCTTAGTTTGGTTAGATATGAAATTCTGGGTTGAAAGTTCTTTTCTTTAAGGATGTTGAATACTGGCCCCCACTCTCTTCTTGCTTGTAGGGTTTCTCCTGAGAGATCCGCTGTGAGTCTGATGGGCTTCTCTTTGTGGGTTACCCGACCTTTCTCTCTGGCTGCCCTTAGCATTTTCTCCTTCATTTCAACCCTGGTGAATCTGATGATTATGTGCCTTGGGGTTGCTCTTCTTAAGGAATATCTTTGTGGTGTTCTATGTATTTCCAAGACTTGAATATCGGCCTGCCTTGCTAGGTTGGGGAAGTTTTCCTGGATAATATCCTGAAGAGTATTTTCCAGCTTGGATTCATTCTCTCTATTACATTCAGGTACACCTATCCAATATAGATTAGGTCTATTCCCATAATCCCATATTTCTTGGAGACTTTGGTCATTTATTTTTACCCTTTTTTCTCTAATCTTACCTTCTCGTTTTATTTCCTTGAGTCGATCTTCGATCTCTGATATCCTTTCTTCTGCTTGGTCAATTTGGCTGTTGAAACTTGTCTATGCCTCTCAAATTTCTCATGTTGTGTTTTTCAGCTCCATCAATTCACTTATATTCCTCTCTAAGCTGTTTATTCTCGTTAGCATTTCGTCAAACTTTTTTTCAAGGTTCTTAGTTTCTTTGCATTGGTTTAGAACATGTTCTTTTAGTTCAGAGAAGTTTCTTATTACCCACCTTCTGAAGCCTGTTTCTGTCAATTCATCAGACTCATTCTCCATCCAGCCTGTTCCCTTGCTGGTGAGGAGTTGTGATCCCTTGGAGGAGGAGAGGCATTTTGGTTTTGGGTGTTTTCATCCTTTTTGCACTGGTTTCTTCCCATCTACCTGTTCTCTACAGAACAGTAAGGGTTGCTGCCAGTTTCTTCTGCTATTTTTGTCCCAGAAAGATACCCACTAGACGTCAGTCTGAGCTCTCCTTTATGAGGTGACTCTGTGGATATACAAGGGTCAGGGAGCTGCTTGAGGAGATAGTCTGTCCTTGATAGGAACTCAAGTGCTGAGCTGTGAGCCCCTTTGTTTCATTCAGAGGTGCTGGGCAGGTACGTTTACGTCTGCTGCAGCAGAACTCATAAACACCTTTTTTTTTTTCCAGGTGCTCTGTCCTGGGGAATTAGGGCTTTATTCATAAGTTTCTGTTGTCCTGCTGCGTTTTTCCAGGGCTGCCCTGCCCATTGAGGATGCACCCTAGTCACAGTCTGCCTGCAGAGGCTTTGCTGAGGTGATGTGGGCTCCGCCCAGCTGCCATGTGAACTTCCCTGCAGTCCTGTTTAGAGGGGTATAGTTTGAACTGCCTTGGCAATGGCGGACTCTCTCTTGGTATGCGGACTCTCTTGGCGACTCTGCTTTGGTAATGGCGGACTACCTTGGTAGTGGTGGACTGCCTTGGTAATGGGGGATGCCCCTCCCCCACAGAGCTGGACAGTCCCAGGTTCAGCTGTGCTTGCTGTGAAACTCTCAATCCAGAGTGTTTCAGATTGCTGTTTTTTGTGGAGGTGGAACCAGCCGAGCTTGATCATCTGGTTCCCTGCCTCAGGCCCCCCCGTTTTTTTCAGTTGAATGGGCGACTCTGTCTCCCAGGCATCCCAGTCACCAGTTGAAACGGAGCCCGGATTTATGTGATTTCTTGTGTGTAGACCCGCTGTGCCGGCTGCAACAGCTGCTGGAGATTCGTGACGCTTTTTCGCCCGGGAATTTCCTGGCCTGGCTCCCTGTTTCAGTCCCCTTTTTTTTCAGTTGAGTGGGCGACTCTATCTCCCAGGTGTTCCAGTTGCCTGTTGAAAAGACGCCTGGATCTGTGTGATTTCCCGAGTGACAACCCCCTGCACCAGCTGAAACAGCTGTGCTAGAAATTCATGGCACTTTTTTGCCTGGGACTCTCCTGGCCTGGCTCCCTGTTTCAGTCCTCTTTTTATCAGCTGAATGGGTGACTCTGTCTCCCAGGTGTTCCAGTTGCCTATTAAAAAGGCGCTGGGATCTGTGGGATTTCCCATGTGGCAATGCACTATGCCGGCTGAAACAGCCGCGCAGAGATTCGTGGCGCTTTTTCACCCGGGAATCTCCTGGCCTGGCTCCCTGTTTCAGTCCTCTTTTTATCAGTTGAATGGGCGACTCTGTCTCCCAGGAGCTCCTATCGCCAGCTAAAACAGCCCGTGGACCCGTGTATTTTGCCTGAAGACCCGCTGCGCCAGCCCAAACAGCCACGCTGGCGACCCATGGGGCTCCTCCACCTGGGAATCTCCTGGTCTGTGGGCGATAAAAATCTGTCTGGAAATGTGGCATCCACTTACCCCCTGAGCTTTATCTCGGAGCTGCAATCCTGAGCTGCTCCTAATCACCCATCTTGTATCCTCACCCAGCCTTGTTTTTTTAAAGGGAGAAAAAAAGGAGAAAACAGTTCTTTGTCACTCTTCTTAATGATCATTTTATGGCATGTTTTGCTAAGGAAAGATGTTTTCTTTTGTGGAGAAGGATGAGGAATGGGTTTATCCGAAAGGGTTAAGAAAGGAGACTCATAGTGGGCTTCTGGAGAATGGGTATTGGGATGTGAGCCTAACTGGCACTCTTGTAGGCCTTCGTCTATTTGTTTTGGAAAGCGTGAACTAATTCCAGATCATTAAGGATTCATTTACATGCCATGGGTATAGACATGTGTTCTGTCCTGAATGGCCTCTCCTTGTTTTTCATCCAGGCCAATAGCTGAAGGGTTGAGTTGTGTGTTAAGTCTGAGAAGAATGAGTCCATGCTTCAGTCTTCTGGCTTCCATGACTAAAATATGCTTAGTTGCATATCAGTGGGTTGGGATAAGATCACACTGAACTGAAGGTTTACAGCTTTGCTTTCTCTCTGGAATCTATATCTGTATTACTAAATGTATACCAGATCTCTCTGGGGTGGATTTAGCTGGTTAGTGTTGACATTACATGGGAATTTAGGATTTGTTAAGTGACTGGATTGATTGGTTAGTTCCTAAAGCAGGACGATCTTATACCTTAATATATGGGTTTAGAATGAATCATTCTCTGGGTATAATCTAATTATTTTTGAGTTACACAGATGTGGTGGTATCTTTATATTCATTGTTTATGATTTAGATCTGCTGCTGAACTTTTTGAGGCATATAGCATGGCAGAAATGACATTCAATCCTCCTGTTGAAACTTCAAACCCCAAAATAAAGGTATGGGATATTTTTTATTTTTTTTAAAAGAAGAAATAGAAACTAATTTATCTCAATAACTCTAGTTTGCTTAATTATTTTATAGGTAGATTTTTTTTTTTTTTAAATGTTTAGGAGTTCTTGGTAGGTTGGATGTCTGAGGTGGAAATTCTATAGAGAGGGTCATGAAACTGTTCATTCAATATAGGATATGTCCAAGACCTTACCAAGCATCTGTCATTATATTGCATGTGTTGGTGTCAGCTGTTGACATTTTCAGCTTTGTTTACAGGTTGGCTTTAGCTTATAGCATGAGTAATTTCTAACTCATACTTTAAATATTTTCCCAGGGTAAAGTTTTACAAGGGGATTCATTTTTGAATGAAGATTTAAATCAGTTACTCAAAAGATACTCCAATGAACTTACTACTGAGTCACCTCTGGATTTCACGAAATATTTGAAAACATCACCATTCTAGTAGAGGAATGAAGTCAGTGGACTTTCTTGTATATTTGTGTGTGTGCAGATGTACATAAAGATGAGTTGTTAACTTAGGACCTTTTCTTTGTGTACAAGGAAAGCTTCCTAAGAATGATGAGGAAGAGGAGGAATAATTACCCTTTGCATGGCACAGGGTTCTGCTCCTATTCTGAATATGTCATTTCATCAGTGAGATCGAAAGCCTTTTTTTTTCCTCCCCAGTATTTGGAAACTACTTTCTTACTAATGCTGTCTTTAAAAACTTCATGTACATTATAGTTTAAAAAAAAAAAAATCTTTGAACTGGATCTTACTGAAGTGCAGTTGCTATATTAAAATTAGGGCACAGAGCACAGAAAAATCAAGACCGTGAGAACACTTTTAATCATTTAGCTACTTTTTGTAACTAAATACTCTAAATATTCTTATTGCAATACTGTGGATGGAAATGAGAAGGATTCTAAATTTGAGTTAATACATTTTTATGAAGATTTTTGAGGAAAGAACAAAATAGCTGGTACTCAGGTTCATCGGCTCTTGCTCAATGATCCACTTCAAGAAGTAACCAAATTTGGCATTTAAAAAAAGGTATTAATGTTCGTTATAGCTACTTTCAAGGAAAGTTTGAATATGACTCTAATCTCTGAAGTTCTTCACATTTTCTGACATTCCTTGGAGGGTGACTGGGGAAGAATTGCTTCAGGGTAGAAGAACCAGGCCCAAGACTTTACCATTCTGTTCCATGGACAAAGGATACTCAGTGAGGAACTTTTTCCCCTCTTGGAACAGGTAAAATGCTTTTTCTTATTAACATAATCATAAACCAGTATTTTATGTAACTGCTATTCCTGTATTCTACGAGTGGCCTAAGAAATGCCTGTTTTAGTGACTAGGTTATAAATATTTTCTGTTGTGAATAGTTGAATAAAATAGCTGTTTTTTCTGCTTCCCATTCTTGTGATAATTTTTTTTTTTTAAAAAGCACAGCAGTCCAACTAAAGAGATCTCTTACTGTTTCAAAGTCATAGAAGCCAGTTATTTTACTCTGAAGCTTAAAGCTCTTTTTTTCCTCATGAAGTAAATGAAAGTAGCAAATTCCTTTACCATTCCAACAGAGTGAGAGGAGAGGATATGAGCTTAATAACAGTGTATGTCAGTCTTTTAGTATATTATATATGATTTTTAAAAGTGGTTTTCAGGTCACATTATTTTAAGGCTTGATTATGTAATGAGAAAGGTATGATTGAGCATATGAATATTTGCTTTTAGTCCACCTTTTAGATATAAAACAAAGTCCAGAAATGTGATAAATATTTGTGTGGATAACCAAAGGGTCTGTCCCCATCAGAGCACAAGTGACCAATATATGTCACAAATCATTTATTTTCCAAACGTATACAAACACATTTACACTTTGGCAGATGAAACTAGAGTTCTGGTGAAAACTCAGCTTAAAATAGAAACTCATCAGCTATTTCACGGCTGTATTATGCTCTTAACTTTCTTGTTATACATATAGAGAATCACAGTGGGACCATAAAATTATACATCTATAGTTGAGTATTTTATGTGAATTTGAGGAAATATATTTGTGCATTAACTTATATAACCTTATATGGATGAATTTCTTTTTTAGAATTAAATGTGGTAGTTATTAGTAATCACACACACACACACACACACACACACACACACACACACACCCTGAGACTGTATGAAGCTACAGCCTTAATTTTTTTAACTAAACAAATAATGAGCACCTACTGTGGTTAGCACTATGTTGGCACTTAAGAGTGGGTTGGGAAATAATGGGCATAAGACATAGCCTCAGTCTTCCATGCTGAGTCAAATCACCCACATAAGACTTTTGTAAAGTGTGACATTACCCAATTCAGTGTTCAAATTACTTGTGTCAAAAGTTTAGAGACCTAAGTGCAATAGGGAAGGTTTCAGAGACTGCTTGGTGGCAGGCTTGTTCATAGTATGTTTCGAAACTAAGAGATGTATTAGAATAGCTTGGTAATCATAGAGACTCAGTATGTGTTTCAAAGAAACTCATTTCAGGTAATTGCTATGTCAGAATCCTTAGCCATCAGCCAAAGATTGCTTTTAGGAAGCTGATACATAGGGGTGGCAGAGAGCACAAATTATTAACAATGGATCATGGGGAAGGTTGACCCAAGTCTAGACTTTATGTGAGAGGCAATCTCCCTTTTCTGACTTTTTTAGGGTCCCAGGTAGACCTTTTCTGGCCTCACTGCTGATATATAAGCAACTGGAAAGGGGTCAGAGACTTTCACCGTGAGAGCACTTTCCCTGTAGGCTGTCAACAGATGGTTGAAGACACACCAGCCAGGAAGATCCTACTCTTCTTTATTGGTATGGGAGCATAGTTACGGAGCTTTGTGTTTTAAGAGTTCATTCAGTTTTACTGGGCCCGTAAGCAAGCCTTGATTACTTTTCAGAATTAAGCAAGGCCTGTGGGTCTCTGTGCAGAGGACAGAAATCTATAAAGACAGTGGAAGAGGAGAGAAGAGAGGAGGGGAACATGCAGTTAACAAAAGGTGAATTGGTACATATCATAGGGGTCCAGCTTTCATTAATGAGCTTCCAATGTCTCTAGAGCCCTTGAGGTGGGAGGCCTTTATGAGAGCAAGTTTGATTAAAAACAAGTCACTTGTAACTCAACTTTTGTTGAGTATAGACTTCATATTTACACCCAACTGGAGAATTTGTAAATAACTTGCTAAGGATGACATGAAAAGGAGCTTTACCTCTCAAAGGACACTTTCTTCCCAGATAGTATCATTACTTCCTACAGATTTGGCATCACTGAACAGAGTGGCAGAATTCATGCTCCTTTCTCTTCATTTTTCATGATGCTTTTAAAAATATTGTAATAAACCTAACTTGCATATTTAATTCTTTTTTTTTTTTTTTGAGACGGAGTTTCGCTCTTGTTACCCAGGCTGGAGTGCAATGGCGCGATCTCGGCTCACCGCAACCTCCGCCTCCTGGGTTCAGGCAATTCTCCTGCCTCAGCCTCCTGAGTAGCTGGGATTACAGGCACGTGCCACCATGCCCAGCTAATTTTTTGTATTTTTAGTAGAGACGGGGTTTCACCATGTTGACCAGGATGGTCTCGATCTCTCGAACTCGTGATCCACCCGCCTCGGCCTCCCAAAGTGCTGGGATTACAGGCGTGAGCCACCGCGCCCGGCCGCATATTTAATTCTTTACCACGTCAACTTTAACAATAAGAGTTTGCTACCCAGATTTCTTAGCCTAAAAAGTGTGAAATGCTAATGGGTATGGTCATAGTGGATAATTTAGGATAATTTCTTTCACTTGGCCTACTAATATAGCTGTGTAATTCAGATAAAGCTTTAAATAAAAATTTAATATTTTCGGCCAACATGAGGTTGTACTGGCCATTTACGTATAATAGTAGACTAGACTTTTTTTTTTTTTTGAGATGGAGTCTCGCTCTGTCACCCACGCTGGAGTGCAGTAGCGTGATCTCTACTCACTGCAACCTCTGCCTCCCGGATTCAGGCAGTTCTGCCTCAGCTTCCCAAGTAGCTGGGATTACAGGTGCCCACCACCACACCTGGCTAATTTTTGTATTTTTAGTAGAGACGGGCTTCGCCATGTTGGCTAGGCTGGTCTCGAACTCCTGACTTCAGGTGATCCACCCACCTCAGCTTCAAAAGTGCTGGGATTACAGGCATGAGCCACTACACCTGGCTGACTTCTCTACATTTTAAAACAATATGTTCTTCCTACAGTCCCAAATACAATGAAGTATGTACTTTCACCTTAAAATGTGATAAACAACTAAGTTGGAATGAAATGTAGGCAGGAGGCTGGATTTTCTCACTTGTTGAACAACTTAGTCTCACCTTCAGTCTCAGATTTACGTTGTAAAATATACAACTGTGTTAAAAGTCATAAAGGAGGAGTGGGACAGCGCTTAGAAAGCATCAGAACCAAATTATAAAACTAAAGAGACCAGTTTTTTCTTCTTGTTACTCTGCACAGCTTTCATTGGCCTCCAGCCACTTAGACCAGTAACTCAGTTTTCAACACCTGGTCGGCCAAACTGTTTGGCATGTTTGCTTATAGAGGCTTGATAAGGTGTTTCCAGAATATTTTTAAAATGGAGCAGCTTTGTGCATTTGTTACAGACTGATTATTTGACTGAAAGCAAACCTGCAGTACTGTACAGATTATGTCAAACTGGGATAGCCTGAATTCTGTTGACAGGAAAATGGTAGTTCTAGCCTTAAGTCTTTGACCCAGTAAGAGCTTTCAATGACATGAAAGCTGAGTGGTATATATTTAATACTTCTGTTTTTAGAATATGCAAGAATATGTGTTTCTTGCATATTCTAAAAACAGAAGTATTAAAAGGATAGTTTTATTTTTATAATTGTTTAGAAAAATTTCTCAAAGTGAAGTTTAGGAGTTTTAGTGTTTTGTAATTTGAAGAATAATATCTTAAAATTCAAAGGTACCAGTGGAAAGATAAAAGTTTGGGTTTTACTTTAGAGGAATACATATTTCATTTTAAAAAATAATTTGCTTCATCAAAGAATATGAAGAATCCTTTACACTTAGTTGGTTTTATACAGCAAAGTCTAAAAATAATTTACATTAAATGGTAAGTATGACTTGGATCAATAGCTCTTCAGTTAATCAGAAATGAAGCAATTTTACTTGAAAGTCTAGCCCATTTCAGATGTTCAGAGCATGTATTTTCATTTTAGAGGTTTGTCTTCAAGTAGCAAGATATACTAGTGCTTCTAATCCATGGCAATATCAAGAAAGCTATGTATAATATATAAGTACTGTGTCAGTACAGACTTTCCACAATAAATAAATGTATCTTAAACACCAACTCAGTCTACTTTTGCTTTAAAAAATTGTTAGGTTTCTTAAGACATTGCAATTCAGTAGATACTAAATTATACATCATTCTGAATTCATTTTGAAAACCAAAAATGAGTAATCTGTGATTATATAAGCAATAGCCTTTTTTTTTTAAAGCAACCTGATTAACTGAATAAGCAATAACCTTAACAAAACCCATTATTATTTCTATATGTAAAAAAGTTTAAAGTAGTATGTGTTATGGTACACAATACAGGAACTAAATTGAATTTTAATGACTTTTATAGGACATACTTACACTTGCAATGCCCAAAAGCTTCCAATTCTTGGCCATAAAATGTATGGCTAAACTTCTTTTTTTGTTTTCAGACCTTTGTGCCCTGTTCCCAGTTCTCTTAGTTGGGTTGGCAAATTATGGTCCTTGGAACAAATCTAGCCTGCCACCTATTTTTGTATGGCCCCTGAACTAAGAATAGTTTTTATGTTTTTAAATGGTTGAAAAAAAGTCAAAACAAGAATATTTGTGACATGTGAAAAATATATGAAATTCCAATTTCAGTGTCCATAAAGTTTTATTGGAATACAGCCACATTCATTCATGTATGTATGGTTTGTGGCTGCATTTGTACTACAGTGGCAGAGTAGTTGCAACATATTTTATGGCCCCCAGCCTTAAAATATTTACGATTTGGCCCTTTACAGACAAGCTTGCTGACCCTTGCTCTAAGTCAATTAATGATGATTTTTCCACCTGCTGACATTTATAAAATGGCAGTCTCCTGGGCTTCATTGCAACATTCATCAGTAAATTGGTTGGTGGCAACTAGCCCTATGCCATTTTGCTTCTCCTCAGCATGGATCTCACATGTGTGAAGGCTTCAGTTCAGAAATCATCAATTTCCAGTTTAGTCAAATGAAAGTAAGTAAATGATTTTTTTTTCCACAATGTTCACTCTTTAACTTCTTGCTGAAAGATCTTCACCTGTAATGTTGTATACAGAGGCATATTAGTATATTGAAAATGAAGAAACAGAAACACAGTATAGCAAGGGTTCAGAGTTTTCCAGCCACAGTGCTGGTGGCTAGGTTTGGGGAAGAGACTATTTCCTCTGCACTCGCAATGTTAGAACATGATGTTTCTAGGCTATTTCTGCCTTGGAAATATTTCACATTCTTTAGAAAGTTTTTTTTTTTTTTTTTTAAATCACATTCAAATAAACTTCAAGAAAAGGTGGAATTCCTTGAACTATGCATTACTACTTCAGGTAAGATGAATATGCTCTTATTTTAAAATTTGTGGAATATTGAAACTTTAAAAGGGATCATTTTATAACAAATATGAAATATTATGTTACTAAACTTGTTTTGTTTTTTCTTCTTTTTTAAAGATGTAGTCTTGCTCTGTTGCCTAGGCTGGAGTGCAGTGGTATGATCTTAGCTCACTGCAGCCTCCACCTCCCAGGTTCAAGTAATTCTCCTGCCTCAGCCTCCTGAGTAACTGGGACTGCAGGCGGGTGCCACCATGCCTGGCTAATCTTTGTATTTTTTGGTAGAGACAGGGTTTCGCCTTGTTGGCCAGGCTGGTCTCGAACTCCTGACCTCAGGTGATCCACATGCCTCGGCCTCCCAAAGTTCTGGGATTATAGGGATGAGCCACTGAGCCTGGCCCTAAACTTGTTTTCTTACGAGCATATACAGAAAGGCCCTTCATTTTTTTTTTACAAATTCTCTTTCTTGAAAAGACCATTGTAAAGGAGGTTATAACATGGGATGTCAATTTACATAGATGCACCAATGACTATAAGAGAAGTCTCCCAGCTTTAAGCAAAGCTGTGAAGTCAACTGAATGAGTCTAAATATCTGCTTGCTTAGAAAAAGAAAAAAAAGTGTCATGTGAATCCATTGGTCAGAAAAAATATTTACTTGTTGTAGGACAATAGAATCTAAAGGCCATCATCTAAATCACTATCACCCTCCCCCAGTCTCCTAAAGTAGAAACAATTAGTAATGTTCATTATAGTAGGCATAACATTTTTCAGTCAGATTTCTAATGGTATTCTGTACCTAAGAAGTAGTCTTGTAGCACAGAGGGCTTTTTATATGTATAGTAGTATGTGACCAATTTACCAGCTTTAGTGTAATTTCAGCTCATTAAAGAAGTTATAGAGGTGTGTATAACATCACACTTATGATTTATTTGATACTAACTTCCGGGTATGCAAAACAATATTTAAAATTTTGACCACTGCAGAGTGTAATAGGGACACTAGTTATTTTAGGAGTTGCTTTTTAAATGTGGAAACGTGGTCTTAATGTACTGGGCCGTCTTTTGGGCCATTATAAATCAAATTTAGCTCTGTCAAGAGGCATCAGTGAGTTCTTTGAGTTTCTGCAGGTTGTGATAAAGACCGACGGTGAAGCTCTGCCACATAAGCAGCAATGCCTTCACCGTGCTGTTGATCTTGTGAATTTTAAATCTGACAACTGCCATGGGACAGGTGACAAGTGGGCTTTAATGAACCCGTAGGCTCTTTGGAAAACTAAGTGAAAAGGAGAAACTTATAATTGGTTTCCTCACACGCTTTTATTCAGGTCTCAAATAATTTGCTTTAAGATAGACAGACTGAAATTTATGTGAATATCAAACAGTAAATTTTCAAGATTGAGGCTGTTATGTTATTTTGCTTTGTTTTTAACCACCACATCCCAGATGCCAGATTTTTATTTTTTTAATTGAGGCAGAAGGAGATGAGGTTGTTGAGTCTACATCAGATCTAAATTAGAACAAAAATAAAACTAGAATCCAAAAGAATAAAAGCTGAATGATTCACAGAGCCCTTGAAGAATGTTCCTGTCAGTTTTTAATAATGAGGACAGTTGTGTGATAAAATATGGCTGTCATAGTACTTTGGGCAAGTTGATTGACTTCTTGGGGCCTTTGCTTAGTTATCTACAAAATAAGGAGGGCTAAAATTATAAAAGCTCAAGTTACATATTCTTTTTTTTCTTTACTGGCAGTGTTCAGTAGCCTATCATGTTACGTATCTTCAGAGCCCTTTTACTGTTTTAAGGTCCCATTCCTACCTGCCTTCAAGGGAAATCCTCCTATTGGAAAAGGTAAAAAACATTGTATTAATTATACCTTACAAAGTAGTTTAAGTTAAACCCTGTTCCAAGATGGTGCAATGACTTAGTATACCTGGGTTAAATATGCTGCCCTTAGTCACTGTCGGTAATCCATTGTGTCACTGGAGGACAAACCACCCACAGGTTTCTCCTCCTTGTTTTGGATACTTTCTGAGGCCAAGAGCTGAGAAGGTGCTGTAAGTCCTCGGGGCTGTTTAGTTGACTTGGTGAGCTTCTTGAGTTCACTTGCAAAAGAAATGCCTTTCTTTTTATCTTCTCGAGATGCCTGTGGGAACAAAGAACCTTCCATTGGTGTTAGGTTAATCACACTCCTCAGTCACATGACACTATTTAAGATAAGCATTTTCTTCTCTCTCTGGTAAATAGAGCTTTGGAAAGGAGGACGGAGGAACCTCCCCTCTGGGACTGCTTAACTGCAATTTAGGCCACATGTTTTTTCATACAGTGAAAACAAAGCCAAACAATTTTTTCTCATCTCCATTCCTTGACTCAGCAACTTTCTCCTAAATTTCACTAGCTTCCAGATCTGGCTACAGTGTGATTATTAGTATCAAATATTTATGAACGAGCAAAGTAACTTTAAACTTTACCTGCACCTGCTCCTTTAGCTTAAGGATGAATTTTCCTGCACCTTTCCACTTGCTTTGGGCTTGAAACACACATTCCTGATCCAGAAGGACCCGCTGAGAGGACTTTAGTGTGGTAGACTTCTTGTTGGTAGCGTCTTTCATCACCTCTTCCAAAAGCACATAGTCACTTGGATTGGGGTTGCTCAGAATGCTATAGGAATATTTGGCTTTGCATAAGGTCTGAAAGGTAAGTCATGATTAACTGAATAGAGACACAGAATCTCCAACATTTGCCTTCATTCTGTATGAAACTTTAAGGTGGAAAAATGGCCCAGACTAGAGAAGGTAATCTTCCAGATCATCTCACCTAGCTCGTCATTTTGCAGTTGTGCCCTTGTAGCTTGTAAGGTGGTCTCCCACATTCCCTCATTTAGCCTCCTCATAGCCTATGCTTTAGGTATTATCCTGAATTTCAGATGAAGAACCTTAAACTTAACACAAGTTAAGCACATTCTAGGATATGCACAGCTAGTAAGTTACAATAAAGGTCTAAACCAGATTTTCAGCATACAACAAAGCTCGTAGACATGAAAGTCAGCCAGTGAGGACAGAGTCTTGCTCTTCAGGAGCCTTTCTGTCCTACTGGGCTATCTCTATCACAGATTCGTGGCTGTTGAAAGAATTTTGAAAGTCATCTCTGTTTTCACTTAATACAAGACTGTCTTTCATTGATGTATTTATTAATTCATTAAATGTTTAGTGAGGGCCTGCTATGCCTTAGATACTGTGCTGTACATTTAGGGAGACAAAGATTAAGTTAAAGAAACATAAGTCTGGGCACTTTGGAATTCAAAGTCAATTGAGTAAGGAGGCTAATACTAACTAACCCTTAAGTAATGTTTACCAAATGTTAGGCATTGTATTAAACATCTGAACATACACTTAATCTTCACAACATCCATGTGAGGAAAGTACTATTATACTGTCTCCATATTGTCTGTGTGGTGACTTACCATGTAGTGTTTTGCTGGAGCCAATGGGAATAGGCTGGTGAAACCAGATATGGTAGGGGCATTTACACAACAGAAATAAATCAGGGCTTTTCTTTTTCTTTTACAAAGAGCTGGTTTACCAGCACACTACTATAACTGAGGCCCAGACCCGAGATCTTACTCCAGATCTCAGTAAGAAGTAGAGCTGGGATTTGAACCTAACGCAGCTTGACCTAGAGTCTGTGCTCTTAATCGTTGTGCTGTATGACTTCTCAAGTAGGTATTTAATGAATGCATACCCTAACCAGGCTATGAAGGAAGCAAAACATAGTTCTCTGAAACCATGTAAATTCTCAGAGAAGCATGACTTAGAGGAGGGGAGAGGATCAGAGCAGGCCTCCTACTTGTCCCCTGTAGGATCCCTGAGAGATGGTCAGTGGGTGCTGCCTCAGGTATTTCTGGGACCATGACATTGTCACTGCAGAGCCACTGCCGAAATCTGAGGGCTTTATAGAGATCCAGACTCCCTGTAGATACTAGTTAACTGTTTGCTGAAGGAATGAACTAGTATTTCCAAGGTTTTAACATTTTTAAAATTTATTTTTGAGACAGTGTGGCTCCGTCACCCAGACTGGAGTAAAGTGGCGTGATTTTGGCTCATTGCAACCTCTGCCTGCTGGGCTAACGTGATCCTCACACTTGTTTCTCAAGTAGCTGGGACTACAGGCACACGCTACCATGCCCAGCTAATTTTTTGTTCTTTTTGTAAAGACAGGGTTTCGTCATATTGGCCAGGTTGGTCTCAAACTCCTGAGCTCGTGTTCTGCCTACCTCAGCCTCCCAAAGTGCTGGGATTACAGGTGTGAGCCACTGGGTTGATGGGTCTTTTTTGTTTGTTTTTAATTAGAGACAGGGCCTCACTGTTATCCAGGCTGCAGTGCAGTAGCCAATCAGCCTCCAACTTCTGTGCTCAAGTGACCCTCCTGCCTCAGCCTCCCAAAACTGGCGTTTTACCTGGCATGAACCAACACTTGAAGCAATTTCCTAGCCTTAAGAGGCACACACTCCCTTTTCAGGTCCCTGTGGTTCAGGAACTGCGTTCAGAAAATGAGCTGTCAGTGCATAGACATCTGTTCCAAGCATTTATGCTGAGGAAAGGATGAGGTAAGGAAGGGAGAGGCTTTTACCTGCTGAATGACATCCTGTGCAGTGCTGAGGCGGGGTGCTTTGATGACTGTTCGAGGTTGCTCTGGAGAAACATCATGCACTTGGACAAAGAAACTCTCGTCCTCTGAGCTCAAGATCACCACTTTGTCATCTTGAAAAATGTTTTTCTCTTCTAGGTTCTATGTTTAAAAAGAAAAAAAAGTGAGTAAATAAGTTTATGCAGAGTAAAGAAAGACAAATCTAGCAAAAACCTGAGCTTATATCTTGGTGATGTAGAAACTTCTTAGCGTAATATCTCATATACTATGTTATTATTTCATAAACCGTTTTAAAAGGATATACCTGTACTTCTGATGTTGACAGACCCATAACAAGCCAATTTATCTGCGATTAGCTGTGGATTTTGAGAGTCCAAATTGACTGTAAATTTGTAGAAAGACAATATACCACTTTGCCAATTAGCAAAAGCCAAACAAGAACATAGTAAATTGCATGTAAAAGAAAACCCATCCGTTTCCACAGACCTTAGCATTTAAGAAATGCTAGGCATCTGAAATGTAAACCATGAAATTGAGAGCTTGGGTGAACAGAACTGCAGTGACACGGCTGAACAAATGGCTGGAGGTAAGCCACACTGAAGCAAATTTCAACAAAATTCTCAGCAATTATGAGAATTAAATTGGCTTTTCGTGGATTATGTATTTACAGATATATGTATCTTATTAAAAATTTTCAAACAGTACAGAAGTGTATCAATAAGAAAAACCAAACTTTTCCCGTTCTAATTTTTCCTTCCCCCATCTCATTCTCCACAAGATACCCCACTGTCATTAGGTAATACACCCTTTTAAACATTTGCTGTGGATGTTCAAATGTATTTTTGTGAATGTGACTATATAAACCAATACCCATGAATTATGTGAATTTAGATATAATGTGATTGTCAGGCCGGTCTTTGTCTCTCATTACAAATGAGGATAGCTTAGTAAGAGGGAGACTAATAAAGGGGAAGGAGAGGCAAAGTAAGTAAACAGTAGTTGACCTCATCTCAGCACGTGAGGACTTGGCAGGAAAACCCCTTTATATCCAGAATTCTAGCCTCATCTCTCCAGACCAGAATACTGAAATGGTGCTAACTAGAAGAATCCATGGATTGTCACTATCCTGGAAATTCCAACAAGAATTGTCCCCGTTGATTAATTAAAGTCAGAAGAGAGAACTGCCACCAGGTGGCGCCAAAAATGCAACCAGGGCCAGAAAGGACAGGCTCCTGAAGCTTGCCCCAGTCATTTCATTAACGTTGCAATCATGGCTCTATAATTACATGATTGTTAAATAAATAAAAATATATAATCTGTCTACTTTGACTTTTTTCAGTGAGTGAAAAAATTTTATTGAATTTTTGAATGAATACTGCATTATATAATGGAAGAGGGGGAAGAGACGAGCTAGTGTCTCTTTTTATTACCTAAAATGAGATTGTATCCTATGTATACTATTTCACAACTTGCTTAATAATATATCATGGCATTGATCATAATATATTTAACCAGTCAGAGAGTAAGATTGAGAGGTAATTCACATAACATAATTTATAGTCTCAGTGTCCCCCAAACCAGGAGGCAAGAAATCAGAGAAAACCAAAAAAGGTTCTAAATTGCCATATAAAATGTCCCAACAATGATGCATTAAGCATTACTTTTAAGAGAGCACTTTTGAGCCTCCCTCAGAGCTTACTTTTAAGGTGTTTCTAGCCACATTACTTTGAATCCACAGGTTATGAACAGAAGATAATAACCTTTGCTTATATCCCTTTTTACTAAGCATTTCTGTACACATTGTCTCTATGTATGATGTGAGTCTCATAATTGAGTCAAGTAGTTTCTATATAGATTTTACAAATTTAGGGCAGTGAGGTTTACAGAAGTCAGGTGACCTTTTCATTTTGACAGAACCCTGGTTTATGCAGTAACAGAAGGCGGCACACTGAATACAAGAAGATGTGGTACCTGGCATATTGAAAGCCAAAGAGACAAGAAAATTATTAAAGGCAGGCAAGAGAGATCAGAGGTCACAGACAGCAGTTGAGGAATTTTCATATGTAGGCAAACTACTTATATATTGTCTTAGTTCCACAGGATAAAATAAATGGAAATACTTATAGCCCAAATCTGTATCCCATAATAGTGCCTCTTGCATTCAGTAATTAATGAATTAATTTATTCAATTGGCAAGTATTATTTGGGTATCACTGTGCACCAGGTAAACCTAGATACACTAAATGTGATTTGTTATCTTTTGAGATATATTTCAGTCATTTCAAAAATTTCCTAAGGCATATAAAGGAGAACTTGCCATATTTTACTCATCAGAAAAAGCTTGTTAGCCTTCCCTTCTGATTTATGCTCCCCTTTTTCTTCAAAATGCTTTCTTCTACCAGCATTTTGAAAGCATAATTCTGAGGTCTCTACTGCCTGTTGTCATATTTATTTGTTTATTTTAGGCAAAGTCTTGTTCTGTCACCTAGGCTGGAGTGTAGTGGTGTGATCTTGGCTCACTGCAACCTCTGCTTCCTGGGTTCAAGTGATTCTCCTGCCTCAGCCTCTGGAGTAGCTGGGACTACACGTATCCACCACCACGCCCTGCTAATTTTTGTATTTTTAGTAGAGAGGGTTTTCCCATGTTGTCCGGGCTGGTCTCGAACTCCTGACCTCAAGTGATCTACCCGCTTTGACCTCCCAAAGTGCTGGAATTATAGGCGTGAGCCACTGCCCCCAGCCTAAGGGATGTTTTTTAGATTGAACTTAGAGATAATATTCTGAATATGTGCAGAAGAATAAAACTCCTCATCCACATTTACTTAAGAATAATGTAAACCAAGTTGCAATTACAAGAAATTCTGAATTTTAGGGAGGCGGTGAGTGGTAAATGGCTAATCATGTAATGAGTTATTACTGTGTAGGCTGCATCTGGACATACTTACTTCCTGCTGAGTTTTTAAGACAATCCTGCCCACGTATCCCTCTTCTGGAAACCAGCTGCTTAAAATTTGCATGATCTCTTCTTCTGGACCAATGGTTCTCTGAAATGGTTGTTTCCTGCATTCATTCTTTTCTTTAGATATAAAATATTTTTCTTCCATCAAAAAATAGTCTGTGGCAACAGGTTTGATGTCTTGTTCAGTTGTCAGAATCTAAAGAAAAAGTTAAGGCAAACTCTGAGGAGTGAGGCAAAAACTTAAATTGACATTCATGGTAGTTTAATATGCAATTTATAAGTGAAACTTACTTTACTGTATTGCATAATTCTTTTTGGAAGATCTAAGAATTCTGTTATGTTCAGAATGGATTGTTTATGTCCATTCCGGGCAATGGCACAACTTATTCATAATCCCCAGACAGCATAACTATTTTCCCACTGCTGGAATGAGAGCTCCTGCTGAATTAAAAATTTTACGTTTCTCATTCCATGAACTTAGCCCTTTGTAACCTTGCAGTACAGGATTGAGGACAAATAACCTAGTTTAGCATTTACTAAAATAATGTTTTTCTCACATTGGAAATAGTCGTCTTCTCATGGAAGGTTTGTACGGCTAGATTTTCATGTGATCTAAGTTCCCGGGAATTATTTTAATAAACTCTGACAGTGTGCTTAAAGGGATTGTTTTCTTTGTTGGTTATTGATCCTATGCAGTCAAACAGGGCAGCTGAGACAAAGCTCTGGAACCAGACAGACCTGAGTCTGACATCTGCCTTTAATACTTGTTGGCTACTTATTGGGTAAGACAATCCCTCGGAGACTTGTTTTCCCATCTACAAAATGGGAATTGTAATAGTAGCAATCTTAATTTTGTTTTGTTTTATGGTTGAAGCATAAAGTGCAACTTGGGTATGTTAATGAAAACTCAATAAAGAAAAGCCATCATTATAGTTTGTTGTTGTTGTTGTTGTTGTTTTTTGAGACAGTTTCCATCACCTAGGCTGAAGTGCAGTGGCATGATTCTGGCTCACTGCAACCTCCACCTCCCAGGCTCCAGCAATTCTCATATCTCAGCCTCCTGAGTAGCTAGGATTACAGGTGCACACCACTATGCCTGGCTAATTTTTGTATTTTTAGTGGAGACGAGGTTTCACCATGTTGGCCAGGCTGGTCTCCAATTCCTGACCTCAAGTGATCCATCCACCTTGGCCTCCCAAAGTGCTGCGATTACAGATACTATAGTTATTTTTACCAATGTATTCTTACTCCTGTTGTACAGATTGTTACAAAAGGCTGAACTTGAAGGGAGTAAAAGTCGCAGCAAAGAAACTCCCTTTGTTGCCTTCCTGTGAGAAGTAGCTTGCCAATGAGCCAAAGCCCAGAGTGAACATGTCTCGCAGGGAGGAAAAACAATGTGATGTACTGAGGATGGTGGGAGTGGAAGGTTCAAGAAGGTTTAGGAAGACACAAATCCCTCCACCCAGCCCTTGGTCTGTAATCGATGCTGTGCTGTTGACTCAACAGAGGGCCAAGGGAAATATTACAGGGATAATTCGGGATGTGATGCTTCTGGGCCACCTCCACAAGAGGGCCTGCTGAGTCCTGCTTTACCTGCTTTACTCTGCTGTTTTGCATGGGTGACAGTAAAGCAATGGGCTGCTGTGGGTGGCTCATGGAAAGTTTTCCTTTATAAAACTTCAGCAGTGCATTGTGATAGTGGACACTCAAGTACATGAACTGATGTATGAAAACAAAACCAAACCCAAATAAACTTTTGGCAATAGCTTCTGTTTGATAATCTATGAAATGTGACACCTGAGCCATTTTCTCTATTTAAGTCAGTTATAAAATGTTGGACAGAATGTTGGCCTGTCTATAGAGATGTGCCCTCAAAGGACACAGCCATTTATTAACACTTAATATTTGTGGTGGTTCAGTTGGTTTTTAATTCCTCCAAAAGTTATGACCCCAGCTACATTTCATCATAGACCCTAACTTCAGAGGGAGTTCAAGGGCCATTCCCTTGGTCATTGCTTCCTTTGGTGCACCCCTATATAGGAGAAGGAATTCTTTTTTATTTTTATTTTTTGAGATAGAGTCTAACTCTGTCACCCAGGCTGGAGTGCTGTGGTGTGATGTCGGCTCACTGCAACCTCCGCCTCCCGGGGTCAAATGATTCTCCTGCCTCAGCCTCCCGAGTAGCTGGGATTATAGGTGTGCACCACCACGCCTGGCTAATTTTTGCATTTTTAGTAGAGATGGGGTTTCACCATGTTGGCCAGGCTGGTCTCAAACTCCTGAACTCAGGTGATCTGCCTGTCTCGGCCTCCCAAAGGGCTGAGATTACAGGTGGGAGCCACCGCGCCTGGCCTCAAGGAGAAGGAGTTCTGAAATGGGTTAAGGATAAAATTGTCTACAAGGATATTAGGCCACTGTGCCAGGCAAGGGTAGTGCTTCTAGTCTGGTGAGAAAAAGGAATTATGCATGGGCCCTGCCTCACCCTTTGGAGGAGATGCCCTCCCTGTTTGGATGCTGCTGCGTGTCTGTGGCTCTCTCACTCTTAGAAGTCCCCCCTATGGATGGGGACCCTGCCTGCAGAAGGCCACAAAGATCCTTTGGAGGAGGATCTAGGGCAGAGGTGGTGCAGCATGAGGAGGCTTAGGCTAGTTCCGCTACAGGGCTTGGGGTAACAGGTTTCAGGGTCTCCATCCCTCTTTCTACCACCAAAAGGAGAGGACCTCAAATTTCAAGGTCAGGTGCCAAGGGAGGGGAGCAAGGGGGCTGCTCAACATGCAAAGGAAGGCTGTAGGCTGGAGGGGCAGGAAATGTCCTGGTCCATGTGGCCCATCCTGACGCTCTAAGAATTTGATTCAACTCCTTGAATGACAAGCAGATTCCATTCACCTAACATGCTAATTCTGATTAATAATCTCTGTGTTAAGAAGGAAGATTAGGCCCATGTCTAGGCTTAGGGGGAAAGTGTGTATATGGTTGGAAGGCCACTCCTTCTGGTCTTTATCATTCTAGAGTCTAGTATTTTATATATCTTAAAAATCATTGAAAAATCTTCTCCACAGGTTAAGGTAGTTTGTCTACTGGTACCAAGATCCATCAGATGATCCTTGGAGTGGATCCTAATGTTGAATAACACATCCGAATAATCAAAAGGCGTATCATCAACATAGACTTTTGTGCATTTATGTCCATCTGTGTATGTTTACACATGCAGACATTCATACACACACAAACATCCATACATCTTAGATTTTGGATTCTTCCAACCACAGCTCAGTGGACTTACCTGCTGCAGAAGCTGCTTTGCCTTGGTGCCTCCATTAATAGTGAAAACGGTAAAGGGCTCTGGCCCTGGGACTCCATGTACCGTGACTCTGTGAGTCTGCAAATATTTTCTTTCTTCTGTATTAAACATCTGTCAAGAAGATCACATGGCTGCTCATTCATCCTTAATCACATGATATTTCTAGGCTCTATTTAATACAGAAGTGCTAGTACTTAGAAGTATGGATAGGAACACGTAAATGCAAAAGGTGCATCTTACTGTGGTAGAAGAGGCAATGGTACCTCTTCTTTAATCATTTAGTGAGGATATTTCGTAAGTACATCACCAAAATATTAATTTAAACTACAGTGTCTCCATCATAATTAGGGGCTGATATTATCTGAAATGTATGTTAGTTCTTACTTATTAGCTGATGTTCCACTATATCTACCGAGTTCCATCTCTCTTCAGGGTACTGGGATAGAGATTTGGATGATAATAAAATGTTCTGCCCTTTGAGAGTGCACCATTCAGACACATAAATCATAATGCAAAAATACATCTGTTAGAAGGAGCTTGGTAAGTATGTAACTCAATTCTTTGAGCATTTTGTGTATTAAGAAATATTCATTCAAAATAAATCATTTATGGAAAGCTTATAGCGAATCAGACATTATGCCTGTCCCTAGAAAATGAGGTACCAATGGGACACTAACCCTGCCCTCAAGGGCTTCCAGTTGAATGAAACAGCTAGAGGGAAAAGTAGGCAGTTGTAAGAAGCATGGTGAGTTCCTTGGGAACCCAAAGGAGGTGGCCTAGAGAGGCTCAGGAGAAAACCAAGGAGGACTTTCTGAAAATGGTATCTGAACCAAATCTTGAAGGACTCACTGTGATTTAGCAGATAAAGAGTGAGACAAGAGAACCCCAAATGGATGTAACATGTACGAAGACTTAGAAGTAGCCAACAGCAGGGCATTCTGGGAAACCCAACAAGTTCTGTCACTAACCTGTTGGAGGGAGAAAGGCTGGAGATGAAGGCAAAAGCACAGCCATTCAGGGCTTTGCCTAACTGGCTAAAATTTAGACTGAAACTGGCAAAATGAGGACCTGAGGGCGGAAGTATATTGTTTAGCATGTACTTCATTTTTATTTGGGGTAGGGAGGAGAGGCTGGCTTTGTTATACTGGCACAATGTGATTTGATTTAATCAGTTTTACTGAAGTATAATTTTCATACTGTAAAATGCACACATTCTAATTGTATGGTTTAGTTTGCACGATATTAAAAATATTAAATAGTTGCTGACATTTACAAAACCCCAGATGTCCTGGTGCTCTTGAAAACCCAAAAGATATGACCACATCACAAGGCAACAGGCAGCTGGAGCTGAGAGCTAAGTGACAGCTGCCCCTCTAAATGACTCATGAGCTCTCTGCTTTCTAAGAGTCTCTGCTCAGCCCAGGTCCATGCATGCACATCATCATCTTGGCACCCTCCTGGCATGTGAATTTGTTACTTCTGGTATAAACTATACCCTGAAAGCAATGGAGAACTGATGGAGGGTTTTTAGCAGAGGAGTGACACGATCATATTCAGATAGATCTGTTTGGGAGGTCCTAGAAGAGGACAGAGAGAAGGGGCAAACCCAGAGGAAATGAGACCAAGGAGCCCTCTACCACAAGTCATGTGAGAATGAACCAGGGCCAAGGCAATAAGGACAGACCAATATGAATGGATTTGAAAGATACCAAGGAAATAGAATGATCAAGTCTTAAATGGGGAAAAAGGCCAAGATGATCTGCAGCTATTGGCTTCAGCGATGGAGAGTGTTGCTCTCCATGGTCAAATGCATGTTTACCAAGCACGTAGCCATATACAGCTGCCCAGAAACTCCAAGGATGGCAAGGTGTGATATAACAAAAACATATTTGGTCTTTGTCCCCAGTTCCTGGCACACAGCTCTTAAAACCCTTTATCTCTGGAGCCATAAGAGTGTCTTTGCTGCTAATGAGATGACTGGTGGCTGAGAAAGACCAAGGCATAGCTAGAGGGGTGGAGCCTTTAGCCTCATTGCCAGACCTCAAGGAGGAGAGAGGGCTGAAGACTGAACTAATCACCAGTGGCTAGTGATTTAACCAGTCATGCCTAGGTCATGAAACCTCCATAAAAACCCTAAATGATAGAGTTCCAAGAGCTTCCAGACTGGTGAACATACCAAGGTTCTGGGAGGGTGGCCCAGTGAGGACATGGAAGCTCTGCCCTCCTGCTATACCTTTTTCTATGCATTCTTCCATGAGGCTACTCCTGAGGCATCTGTTCTGGTGACAATAAGCAAAGCACTCTTATGAGTTCTGTGTTATTCAAGCCAATTATTAAATCTGAGGATTTAGAGGGATCCCCTGAATTTATAGCTGTTTGGTCAGACGTCCTGGTGACAGCCTGGGACTTGTGACCAGCATCTGAAGTAGGAGTCATCTTGTGGGACTGAGCCCTCAATATGTGGGATCTGACACCAACTCTAGATGGACAGTGTTAGAATTGAACTGAAATGGAGGACACCTAGCTGGTGGCAGAGAGTTGGAAAAGACACTACGTTTTTGGCGTCAGAAGTGTTGGAGTAAAAACAGTTCATTCGTGGCATCTGTGGAATCTTCAGCTGTAACATACTGAGGTCACCCAGCTCAGAACTGGGCATTTGGCCCTGCTCTGCCTTTTCTTAAAGCATCTGATTCCTGCTCTTTGTACCACGTGGCCCTGCCCTTGCTTATCAATCCTCTGCGCAAGGTGGAAGCCACACCTCCCTCCACTTTGGCCAAACTAAACCTTGGACACATGATGTAATCACCTGAGGATCCTTAAAAAAACTGATGCCCGGGGCCCATCTGCAGAGACTGGTTTAATTGATGTGGGGTATGGCTTGTGCACATGGAATTTTTTAAGCTCCCCAGGTGATACAAATGTACAGTCAAGGTTGCTGTGAGGTGATGAGGGAAAAAAGAAGAACACCTAAGCAAACAAGGGCAGGAAGAGGGGGAGACAAAACCGACAGTGGTGAGGGCAAGAGAAGGGCAGAGAAGCAGGCAGGAGGTGGTGGTGGAAGCTGTCATGGCCAGTGCCATTGTGAGCGCAGAAGGTACCTTCCCAAAGACTGTTAAGACTATAGTGAGTCTGAGATTGACACAAAAGTAATCACATTATTAAACATGTAAAGAGGGTAACCAGTGGACATGCTTTTCAAATTTATGTTTAATTTAAAGAGGAAGCATAATGGAATTAGCCAACTAAAGTAGTTGTTTTAAAAATAACTTTTTAGAGATGAGGTCTCACTCTGTTGTCCGTGCTAGAGTGCAGTGGTGTTATCATAGCTCACTGTAACCTCAAACTCCTGGGCTTAAGCAACTTTCCTGTCTCAGCCTCCAAAGTAGCTGGGACTACAGGTGCTTGCAACTCTGCCCAGACCATCAAAAAAAATTTTTTTATAGAGATGGGGTCTTGCCCAAGCTGACCTTCAACTCCTGGACTTCAAGCTATCCTTCTGCTTTGGCCTCCCAAAGTGTTGCGATTCCAGGCATAAGCCACTGCACTCAGCCCAGTTTCTTAGCTAAAGAAACCATCCTGCATTAGTGAGGGGGCCCTGGTCCAAGTGTCCTCAAACTTTAGTGGGCACCATGCTTCCATGGGGAACTTGTTAAAATGCAGATTCTGGCCAGGCATAGCAGTTCATGCCTGTAATCCCACCACCTTGGGAGGCTGAGGTGGGAGAATCGCTTGAGTCCAGGAGTTTGAGACCAACCTGGGCAATATAGTGAGACCCCATCTCTATAGGAAAAAAAAATTAGTTGGGCATGGTGGCACATGCCTGTAGTCCCATCTATTCAGGAGGCTGAGGTGGGAGAATTGTTTGAGCCAGGAAAGTGGAGGCTGCAGTGAGCCAGGTTGGCATCTATGCACTCCAACCGGGACGACAGAGTGACAACCTGTCTCTGGGGGAAAAAAAAAGGCAGATTCTGCAGCTGTGGCACTTTCTACAGTGTCCTCCTTCCGTTCTCAAGGGTGCAGATTCTGCATCTCCCAGGCACCGAGGTACAAGTTATGTATGCATCGCCGGTAGAGCCTATTGCTCACCCCAGCCTTGCTCTGCCTGTGACATTTGCCCTGGACTGCTGAAGAAGCAAAATATTTTCTTGATTTAACCTAAAGTTTCTAGAAGTATTGGAAACGTTTCCTACTAGGCTTTGCTTGATAAGCCTCTCCCTCACTTTTAATATTTGGCTCACTTCCCTGATAGACACTATAATATATGGGTTTTGTTACTAGAAGCTGGGTTTAAATACTGGACTGCTGCTTGCTAGCTGTGTGACCTCAGAAGTACTTAGCTTTACCTTCCTCATCTGTAAAATGGAGATGATGCTAATAGCTACTGCTGGACATGAGAGGCCTGAGTTAGTATATATGTAAAGTGCTTAGTAAGTGCCAAGTGTCAGCCATTATTGTTATTATTTCCATAGCTACCTGATTAAAACTCACACTGGCCATTTTGCTGAGCCACAAAAAAGCCCACCTTCAGTGTAGCGATCCCCATAAATATGAGTGAAACAGAACTACATTACCGAAGAGGCTGACATGGTACTGCCAGAGGAATTTTCTTCCATCCTTCTGCTGTTAATGAATAAACTAGAGATTTCCAAGACTTCATTGTGAAGGTTTCGCAGCTGAAGATGTCGATATCCTGCAGTAATGCAGAATTGGGAAAGGCTTGTTAATCATGCACTACTGAGAAGATGATTCAAGGAGGTCAGTAAATGACAGGCAGAAAGAAAACCTTAAAATGGACAGGGATGGCAACAGGCATGCAACCAACAGGCACCTTTTCACCAGGAGACTGCTACCCAATGGCAACTTGTCCGAGTACTGTTCCCAACTAAGATTTGCTCGAACAGCAAATCTTACACTCAGACAAAACCGATCTAGTAGAAAAACCTGATTACTAACAGTCCCTGTTTTACAAATGTTCCATCTCAGAGCAGCTTTAGTGATAATAGAATATTCCCATGATGGGAGATTGGTTATAGATTATGGTATGACTTAAGTATAAAGTGGAATACACAGCTGATAAAAGTGGCAATGGACATGTATAGTTATCAACATGAAAGGTTGCTGTTACCCTATGTACATTAGTAAGTGAAAACCATAAGTTATAAAACACTAAGATTAGTAGAATGCCCATTTGTTATGTATGCTCATATGTTACATACATGGGAAGAGAAAGCCTGCAAGACTTACACACCAAAAGTGACTGTGTTGGAGAGATGGAAAATGGATGATTTTTTAAAAAATTGTTTTTGTTTCTATGTATTTTCTCACATTCTGTAATAACAGTATGGGCTGATGTGTCTCCCTCTGACCCCATACTGTCCCCACTCCTGTGTAGAAGTCCTAACCCTCAGTACCTCAGAATGTGGCTATATTTCAAGAGAGGGCCTTTAAAGAGGTAATTAAATTAAGATGGGATCATTAGGGTGGACCTTAATCAGTGGGACTGGTGTCCTTATGAGATGAGGGGATTAGGACGCAGACAACATAGAGGGATGACTGTGAGGACATGGTGAGCAGGTGACCATCTGAAAGCCAAGGAGAGAGGCCCCAGAAGAAACCAAATCTGCTAACCCCCGATCTGAGACTTCCAGCCTTCAGAACTGTAAGGAAATCCATTTCTGTTGTTCAAGTCATCTTGTCGGTGGTATTCCATGATGGCAGCCTGAACAGACTAATTAAATGACCATGGACTGTTTGCACAGAGAAGAGAAAAAAGGAAAGGAACACAAACTAGGAAACTGTAATGTGTTTGTGGAGCTCCGAGTGTGGCTGGGAGAGGAAGTGTGTACTTAGAATATTGGTGCTCAAAGGAGACCATCAGAGCCAGCGCACCCGGGAGTGTGTTAGAAAAGGAGCCTGTCAGTCTCCACCTGAGGCCACTGAATCACAATCTGCATGTTATTACCCAGACTCCCAGAAGATTGCTATGTACATCAAAGTTTAAAAACAGTGCACAGGCTGAAATTGTCAGAGTGCCACCACAAAGCCAGTTCACAAGCCAACAGCTTTAGCCTTTGCCCAGAGTCCTTCATTCCCCTCTTCCTGCACCTAAAACCCAGCCCCAGTTTCCAATACTGGACTTCTGCCAGGCACAGATGGCAACCACATGGTCACTTATGCCACCACCACACCCGGCCTCTCCCACATCTGTTTCCTCTCCTTATTTCAGTCCCTGCTTTAATACTGCCAGCGGTGCCGTGGGTAGTATTTAGGAAGAAAAACGTGTGGAAATGAGAGTGCAGCCACCATTACTTCTGACCTCAGCAGGCATGGGTGAGCCTGTACTTTACCAGGGATATTGTCAATTACCTCAGACTTTTAAAAAATGTAAAAGACTAATCCCAGTCCTTTGGGAGGCTGAGGCAGGCGGATCACACGGTCAGGAGATCGAGACCATCCTGGCCAACATGGTGAAACCCGAGCTCTACTAAAATACAAAAAATTAGCCAGGCGTAGTGGCATGTGCCTGTGATCCCAGCTACTTGGGAGGCTGAGGCAGGGAAATTGCTTGACCCCGAAAGGCAGAGGTTGCAGTGAGCGGAGATTGTGCCACTGCACTCCAGCCTGGCAACAGAGCTCTGCCAAAAAAACGAAAACAAACAAAAAAACTTCTTTTGAGACATACTTCAAAAGTGCTCAAATTTGTATTTCCTTTTGCTTATTTCAACTTCTTAATAGGAAAATGTCAAACACAAGAGAGAAGAGTATAAGGAAATTCTGGCACCCACCGCCTAGCTATGACAATTATTAACATTTGGACAATTTTATTCTACCTCGTTTTAAAGCTTTCAGTGGAATGATTCTCTGCGCTGTTACCGCTGAACTGTTGTTTTCCACAACTGCGAAACGAAGAAATACAAGATCTTCGAAGAGAATGCGGAACAGAAACTGCTCGTTCCACATGGGGTTCAGGGTGTTTCGATGGATGGGCTTCGTGCGGAAATGGCAGCTGTCCAGAGGTATGCCCAGGACATCGACTTCAATGCACGGGCTTCCTGTGCTGTTCCCGGGGCACACGTTCTGACCAGAGACAATCTATGGCGAGGGAGACACAAGGGACCAAAGTCACCAAGGATGAAAAGCAAAGACAACCTCTGCACCTCACTGCTCCCCTCTGCAAAGGAAGTCCGAGAACACTGGAATGGGCAAAGTGAATGATTAACTTTTTAAACAAAACTGTTTAAAAAGTGAGTGACTGTGACCCGGTAATCGCATGACTAGCATCATGTAAAAAGCCTATTTGGTCAACATCATTCACTTAACTGTAACCTTTCAACTATCAAAATCTTCAAAAGCCAAACAATTAAGATAAAGTTAAATTTCTCACAAAAGGCTAGGGGAAAGACAACTTTATGCAAGATAATCATAAATTTGTTACTAATACTCTGTTCAAAATGCCATAGGAATATGTTTTATAACTTCAAAGTCTTTTTCTTGAATAGTTTCATTTTGGGGCAAGTTGCAGACATGTTGGGAATTAATTCACACCTTTCTGAAAACGGATAAAACTACCCTCACCTCTAGCTAAAATAAACAAATAGGAAAGGGGCTACTTCCCTACTGTCTTCGGGAAAGAGAAAAAGCAGTTTGAGTGGTAGGAAAGTGTATGAATGGTGGTTGCGGGGGTCGTACTTGGAGGGCTGCTTGGCATTCTTCCTATGGAGGGAGACAAGAGCTAAAGGTGGAAAGAGATGACCAGGTCTCTGCTGGGTTTTTTTTTTTTTTTTTTTTTTTTTGTTGTTGTTGTTGTTGTTGTTTTGTGTTGCTGAGACAGGGTCTTGCTGTCAGCCAGGCTGGAGTGCAGTGGTGCAATCTTGGCTCATTGCAACCTCCACTTTCTGGACTCAAGTGATTCTCCAGCCTCAGAGTCCCAAATAGCCACCATGCCCAACTACCTTTTTTGTTATTTTTTGTAGAAACAGAGTTTCACCATGTTGCCCAGGCTGGCCTTGAACTCTTGAGTTCATAGCAATCTGCTTGCCTTGACCTCCCAAGGTGCTGGGATTACAGGCGTGAGCCACCATACCTGGCCAGGTCTCTGTTTTAAGAGGAGTCTGTGGAGTTTTGACAATAAGTTAATTAGACGAAAAGGAATAAGGAAAGGCACAGGAATGGTAAAGGTTTAATTACAGGGAGGGAAATATATTTAATTGCATTTATATATTGATGCAAATTTGTCTAATCTTAGAGCTTTTGGAGCTTAACATGAACTGACCTAATAAACAGCTCACCAACTTTCATGGGATATACTCATAGTTATGTTTCTGTGGGCCCTGGAAGACAGAGTTAGCATCATCAGTACATCAGGTGAAGCAGGGACCTCATGACCCCACCCACTGGGCTCTGGCAAACACAGTGTCTGGCGACAACTTGCCTAGCCATAGCTACCGCTTCCTGGGAGATAAAGAGGTGATTCTGGGAACTAAATCTGTATGACCAAAATTGTGACATGACAGCTTTGCAAGGCCTTGAATTCAAAACCAGTTCATTTTCAGGAAGGCTTAAACTCGACCTTATGTTCTTTAAGTAGGGACATGCTTACGGTTAAAGAATAGACTGCAGGGTCCATGTTGTCCAGATCTCTTTCCAGTGGAGAAAACTTCTGATACATGGGACAATTCTTGTCCCACAGAACTGGAGGCTTCAAAACATAACCACAACCACCATTTGCTTCAAACATTGCAGCATTTAAATGTAAAGGGAGATCTGTAAAACAAACAACAAAGCCAATATAGCTCGTTACTTTATCATTTAAGTATCATCTTAAAAATTTAAAATTCAAGGGCCAGACACAGTGGCTCATGCTTGTAGTCCCAGCACTTTAGGCACCAAGGTGGGCAGATCACAAGGTCAGGAGATTGAGACCATCCTGGCCAACATGGTGAAACCCTCTCTGTACTAAAATACAAAAAATAAACCAGGCGTGGTAGCGTGCGCCTGTAGTTCCAGCTACTTGGGAGACTGAAGCAGGGGAATTGCTTGAACTTGGGAGGCGGAGGTTGTAGTGAGCCAGGATTGTGCCACTGCACTCCAGCCTCATGACAAAGCAAGACGCCGTCCCTAAGCTCCAGCAAGAAAAAGAGATAATCACCCATTCATCCCACAAATTGATAAATGCCTACTATGTGCCAGGTTGTGTTAGGGATCAGATCCAGTAGGTTATAAGAGAAAAATTCCTGTCCCTATGTTGCTTGCAGTCTATGGCTATGCCCAGTGTTACCACACCAAACCAGGTTCCACCACTTGAAAACTCCTTTGCAAATAAAAATTTGCTACATCTGTCTGAAAAATCTTGTGAAAATACAGTTGACCATGGGGGATTGGTTCCAGGACTATGAGAAGTTACCAAATCCACAGATGCTCAGGTCCATGATATAAATGGTGTAGAATTTGCATTATAACCTATACCATCCTTCTGTAAACTTTTTCTTTTTCCCCCTGGAGCATAGATTAAAGTTGCCCTGAATATATGTTCCCTTTCTGTATACTTAAAATCATTTCTGGATTACTTAATAATGCTATGTAAATGGTTGCCATACCGTATTGTTTAGGGAAAAATAACAAGGAAACAGGCTGTGTATGTTCAGTGCACATGCCACCATCCATTTTTTTAATGAATATTTTCAACCCACAGCTGGTTGAATCCACAGATGTGGAACCCAAGGATATGGAGGGGCAATTGTACCTCATTTTATACTAAATTTTGGAAAGGAATAATGGCTTATCTCTAAACCATGCAGATAACTGTATGGACAATTCTTGCTATTTCAAATGTAAGGTAAAATCTTAATTGTAAAAGAAAGGAGAATAGCCAGAAAAAACATGCTTTTCCTTGAAATCTCAATTTCAACCTATAAATTACATCTTCTTTTAAAAAAAATTGTAAACATGAGCCGGGCGCGGTGGCTCAAGCCTGTAATCCCAGCACTTTGGGAGGCCGAGGCGGGTGGATCACGAGGTCAAGAGATCGAGACCATCCTGGTCAACATGGTGAAACCCCGTCTCTACTAAAAATACAAAAAAAATTAGCTGAGCATGGTGGCGTGTGCCTGTAATCCCAGCTACTCAGGAGGCTGAGGCAGGAGAATTGCCTGAATCCAGGAGGCGGAGGTTGCGGTGAGCCGAGATCGCCCCATTGCACTCCAGCCTGGGTAACAAGAGTGAAACTCTGTCTCAAAAAAAAAAAAAAAAAAAAAAATGTAAATATGAAAAAAAAAAAAAAGAAAAACCCTATCACATCTGATTCACATCATGTCCACAATCTCCTCAATCATAAGTATCAGGAATCCTCACAAAGGCTTTGAGGTTTTTGTTGCCAAATTTTATTTGGCACAGTTCTTTGATGAATGATTGGATTCCTGCACTCTTTCTGGGCTCTTACACACTGAAATGCTCATCTGATGGCGCAAGTCTGAATAGAAGTTGCCCAGCTGAGTTGATGAGACACACCTGATGAATATTCCCTCGAATAGATTCCTTCCATGTGCAAGAATGAACTTTGTACATGGATCAAGGCAAAGTGCAGTAAGTGCCTTGGAGCAAGAAGTTAGCCTTTACTTGTCTTGTCTGTAAAATTCTTCCATGTCTGTGGGGTTGGCCAGTATTGTGTGCAGGATTTCTGATGTAAGATGTCTTAGACATATGAAAGCTCCTTATCTGTAAAATGAGTATAGTATAGAGGACCTCATCTCTCAGGTCCCTGCCAGTCCTGATGTGACTGGTTCATTGTGGCCGTGCTGCCTCACCTGCATTGGGAGAAAATTCTCTTCTCAGGCCACTCTGTCACAGAGGAACACAGACATGGTGAAAGTGGCGAAGAATGTGAAGTCAACTAGCTCATATGGGGTTGGTAAAGGTGAAATGGACATATAGTACTGACAACAGCAATGACAGCTCACACTCTGTACTCTAAGGACCAGATACCATTCTAAGCACTTTATGTGCACCTCCCAATAACCTATGAAGCAGATCCTTTTAGTATCTCCATTTTTATGGATGAGGAAACTGAAGCACAAAGAAGTGAAAACACCCAAGGAATGTAACTAGTGAGTGGTGGATGCTATAATTTGAGCCCAGATTGCCTGCCCGTTGTTCCCAATCTTAACTACTGAGCCATATGATGTACATTTTACAGGGCTGTGGATACAGTAAATGAGATTTAGCACATCAAAGGTACTCAATAAACAGTAACTTTTTTTGTCATCATGACATCAACCTCAAGTGACTTCAGTAGCACCGTATCTATCCTAATAATTTCCCAAAAACATTAAAGCTGTAAAGCCAAAACTCTAAAGCTATTAAAACTTTTAAGCTTTTTAACAATTATTTTTTTTAAGTTCCAGGGTACCTATGCAGGATGTGCAGGTTTGTAACATAGGTATGCAGGTTTGTAACATAGGTACACATGTGCCACGGTGGTTTGCTGCACCTATCAACCCATCCTCTGGGTATTAAGCCCAGCATGTATCAGCTCTTTCCCCTGATGCTCAGTATCTTAACTGAAATCTTATTTGCTAGCCTAACATGTAAAAGAGATCCACATGGAGCTGCACAGTTTGGAATAAAGGTGGGACCTCAAATACAGCCCTCTTGCTGTCCCCTGGACGTGGTCCCAGAACTTCATCTGGGGCTATAAAATCTTCATTCCAATGAAGTGAAAGAGTGTGCACAAATCTGTGTAACCCTGCTACACCTCTGAATCAGCGCACATGATAGATCAAGCATAGCACCGCCTTGATGGTCTTCTACTCCTTAAAATACTCCGCATTATGTAGATACCATTCTCATATTTATCCCTATATTTGAGGGTTGGGAAAGTCTATTATTCAAAAAAGCATAATTTTTTTTTAAAAAAGAGGTTTTTCTTTTGACTAAGCATTTATTGAGCATCTACTGTGTGCAAAGTATTAATATTAAACCAGGCTCTACTCCTAGAGTTTGCAGAAATGGAGACCATTTTTACAGATGTACACACTGATACTGCATGTAGCTTGTACTTTGTCCAACATGGGAGGTGTTTAATCAGCACATTGAATGGAGAGAGGTTATATGATAGCACTTTTTCGCACTTTGGAAGATTATGCAGAGAAACTTGTCATTTGAGTGGGATGGCTTAAAGATGTACTCCTAATCTGATTTGAAAGAGAGGCAAAGCCATTAGGGGTGAGTGGAGGACAGGCAGCCTTAGTCTGTACTTCTGGACTGCAGGGTGGCCCACGGAGTGGCAGCTCCCTGTGTCCCCTTCACCTATGGCTCCTGTTTGCCATCAGTGGAGCCAGTGTGTCTGTACCAGTCCTGGCACTTCTGGAGAAAGGGCACATCCAAAACCAAACACTTCCATTTCCTTGAGAAAATCCTGATAGTCACTTCAGTTTACTTAAAATATGCTGGTATAATAGCCAATGGCACCAGTGGATACAAGACTACCGACAGGGCTAGAGATGTGAACCCACAAGCCACTCAGGAAAGAATGAACGGAAATAGAAAAATAAATTTTTACAACTTTGAGAGTATTTCATGATTATTTCCATTTGTGAGCTCAAATCATACTGTTTTCATAACTTATCAAACACACTCAATGATAGTTAACCTTTGAGGAATGCTTTGTGTGTGCCAGGTACTATGCTAATTATGGTACTTCACTGGCATTGTCTTATTTAATTTCAACTGAAAGTAGCACATACAACAAGGGCAGAAATGTGACCAATATCTCCTCTAATCATATGTCCCTGGGATTATCCACCAACGGGTATTGTTGGCACCAGTGCCAGGTAGCTAGCTGGTCCCAGAGCTGAAGCTGTGGTTTGACCTCAGCTGGAGACAAGGCCATACTGTGGTTTGTGGTTCAGCGTGGTTAGATGAGACTGGATTCAGTTCACGTGAGATGAGTGATAAGAGCTGCCTGCTGCTTGACCATTCAAAAGAAAGACTGTGGTTTATGAATGAGGTTTTAGGAAACATTTGTCTTCTCTTTCCTCACCTTCTGTAGCAACTCTCCTCACCCATAACCAAGTGGAAACAAAATACTTTATCCTTTAAACTTCCAGACTCCTTGAATTTATTACAAGTCATCCTGTAACCTTGAACAAATGAACCAATTTGTGCCTTGGTTTGCTCATCTGAGAAATGGGTATCATAAAGGTACCCAACTTTAGGGCTGTTGTAAAGATAAGATAATAGGGGATCAAAAATTCAGCATACTGCCTAATGCACAGTGAGCATGCAATAAATGACAGCTTTTACTCTGGAGATGTAGGCCTCGTATCAGAGTCTAGTGGAGAAACATGATCACTACTTACTCTGTTCAGGTACTTCTCATACTTGTGTTCCTTTTGCTAGCTACTCTGAGGGCACTGACCATTATTCTCCATTTCAATTCCAAAAGGATAAGAAGAAGCTAAAATGGTTGTAATTTGCAAAGTGGCTAGAGCAACGTTCCTTTTTGACTGCAAGAATCACTGCAGAGTGAGACAGGCTAACTACGTGGTGTTAGGAAATCCCTGCTCCAAAAGAGCTTTAACATAAATTCGCACGGCTCTGTCAAGAGCAGCCTGGTTATTTGAGAACTGCATTAAAAAGGGCGCGGTGGCTCAAGCTTGTAATCCCAGCACTTTGGGAGGCCGAGACGGGTGGATCACGAGGTCGAGAGATCGAGACCATCCTGGTCAACATGGTGAAACCCCATCTCTACTAAAAATACAAAACATAAGCTGGGCATGGTGGCGCGTGCCTGTAATCCCAGCTACTCAGGAGGCTGAGGCAGGAGAATTGCCTGAACCCAGGAGGCGGAGGTTGCGGTGAGCCGAGATCGCGCCATTGCACTCCAGCCTGGGTAACAAGAGCGAAACTCCGTCTCAAAAAAAAAAAAAAAAAAAAAAGGGGCAGGATCAGGAGACCTTACAGGCCTGTTCGAGGTTCTTTTCTATTACCTTAATCTGAAACATCAGAGGCACAATTCAGTATCAAATTCACTTCTGTTTTCTGTCATCACATTTTCACTCTCACACACAGTGTGCCCCAGTCTGGAATCTTGCCCCTTTGAAAAAATGTTGTCAGACTGCACTTACTGAAATGTAAGATGCAAAGGAGAGAGGTGAGCATGCAGGTCCCTTACCATCGGTCTGGTAGTTGAGTGCCACGAGCTGTATCCCGTGGAGCCAGAACATGAGGGGGTTCGGGTTGGAGGAGTCGATGCGAGTGGCAGCAGGGTAAGTTCTTAGCAGCTGACAGGCGGTGTGCTGGATCAGTTTCTGAGAATACCTGCGACATAGACGTTTGGCAGCATTTTCATTCAGCGACGAGATATGATAACATTTGGGAGTTCTAATGATCGCGCTGAGGGAGGTGGTTGGGTTGAGAGGGGAAGAAGATTCCTCCCAGGTCTGTCGAATTCCTTCACAGGAACCTAAACCACCCAAGAGATTAGCCGCAGATTAGTCTAGAAAACTTTAAATATTTTAGAAAGATAAACCTGAACAACATCCCAGTAAACAGTCACAGCATGTAAACCACATCAGAATACCTGTTGGATTTTACCTATGAGTTTGCAACCTTAAAATAATATAGTGGCTACTTAGTTTTAAAATGAGTGTGGCAGCTGGGTGTGTTGGTTCACACCTGTAATCTCAGCACTTTGGGAGGTCAGAGTGGGAGGATTGCTTGAGCCCAGAAGTTCAAGACTAGCCTGGGCAACATGGTGAGAACCTCTCTCTATAAAATATAAAAAATAAAATCAAACAAAACCCCACAAGACACCAAACAAAATGAGTGTAGCAACATCAATTTAAATTAAAAGCCTGGAAGTTCTTTGCCTCTGTACTTCATCTGTGTTGTGGTATATTTGCACAAATAAGCAATATATGTACAAGGGTATTCACTCCAGCATTGTTTTTCATAGGAAATAACAAATCAAAACAAAGCCAAGAAGCAACCCAAATGGATCAGTGAAGAATTGATTAAATAAATGACAATATGTCCATGCAGTGGACCACCACACAGGCATTACAATAAGGAAGCTACATGTACAGAAAATTATGTGAAAAGTTCTAGCAAGTATAAAGGTTATACAAGTGTGTTTGGTTATACAGGCATACCTTGTTTCATTGTGCTTTGTTTTATTGCGCTTTGCAGATACTGCATTTTTCACAAATTTAAAGTTTGGGGCAACCCTGCCTCCAGCAAGTTTGTTGGTGCAATTTTTCCAACAGCATGCACTCACTGTGTGTCTCTGTGTCACATTTTAGTAATTCTTGCAAAATTTCAAACTTTTAACCATTATATCTGTTGTGATCTGTGACGAGTGATCTTTGATGTTTTATTGTAATTGTCTTAAGTTTACATAAGATGGTAAACTTAATTGATAAATGTGTGCGCTCTGACTGCTCTACCCACCAGCTGTTCACCCATCTCTGTCCCTCTCCTCAGGCCTCATTATTCCATGAGACACAATGATATTGACATAAGGCCAATTAATAACCCTACAGTGGCCTCTAAATGTTCAAGTGAAAGGGAGAGTCACACGTTTCTCACTTGAAATCAGAAGTTAGAAATAAACTTAGTGACAAAGGCATGTCAAAAGCCAAGACAGGTCAAAAGCTAGGTGTCTTGTGATAAACAGTTAGTGTCTTGTGATAACAGTATGAATATTTCATACATTTAGTTGATAAAGCAGCAACGGGGTTTGAGAGGACTGACTCCAGTTTTGAAAGTTCTATGGTGAGTAAAGTGCTATCAAGTTATGAATGCAAAGGAAAAGTTCTTGAATGAAATTAAAAGTGCTACTCCAGTGAACACACAAATGATAGGAAAGCAAAACAGCCTTATTGCTGATATGGAGAAAGTTTTAGTGGTTTGGATAGAAGATTAAACCAGCCACAGTATACTTTAAGCCAAAGCCTAATCGAGAGCAAAGTCCTGAATTCTCTTCAGTTTTATGAAGGTTGAGAGAAGTGAGGAAGCTGCAGAAGAAAAGCTGGAAACTAGCAGAGGTTGGTTCATGAGGTTTAAGGAAAGAAGCTGTCTCCATAACATAAAATCAGCAGTACTGATGGAGAAGCTACAGCAAGTAATTTGCAAGATGTAGCTAAGATCATTGATGAAGGTGGCTACATTAAACAGATTTTTTTTTCTTTTTTTTGAGACAGAGTTTCACTCTTGTTACCCAGGCTGGAGTGCAATGGCGCGATCTCGGCTCACCGCAACCTCCGCCTCCTGGGTTCAGGCAATTCTCCTGCCTCAGCCTCCTGAGTAGCTGAGATTACAGGCATGCGCCACCATGCTCAGCTAATTTTTCTGTATTTTTAGTAGAGATGGGGTTTCACCACGTTGACGAGGATGGTCTCGATCTCTTGACCTCGTGATCCACACACCTCAACCTCCCAAAGTGCTGGGATTACAGGCGTGAGCCACTGCGCCCGGCCTAACAACAGATTTTTAATGTAAATGAAACAGCCTTCTATTGGAAGAAGATGTCATCTAGGACTTTCATAGTTAAAGAGAAGAGAAGTCAATGCCTGGCTTCAAAGAAAAGGCTGTCTCTTGCTAGAGGCTAATGCAACAGGTGACTTAAAGTTGAAGCTCATGGACCATTCTGAAAATCCTAGGGCCCTTCAGAATCTTGCTAAATCTACTCTGCCAGTGTTCTATAAATGGAACAACAAAGCCTAGATGACAGCATGCCTGTTTACAGCATGATTTTTCATGTCTGCTAACACAGTATCCAGTCTGCAGCCTATGGACAAACAGCAATTTGGACTTTTAAGTCTTATTTAAGAAATAAATGTCAGAAGGCTAAAGCTGCCATAGATTGTGATTCCTCTGATGGATCTGGTGAAAATAAAATGAAAACCTCCTAGGAAGAATTCACCATTCTAGATGCTCTTAAGAGCATTTTTGATTCACGGGAGGAGGTCAAAAGAGCAACATTAAGAGAAGTTTGGGAGAAGTTAATTCCAAACTTCATGGATGACTTGGAGGGGTTTAAAACCTCAGTGGAGAGAGTAACTATAGATATGAGTAACAGCAAAGAAGTGTAGCCTGCAAATGTGACTGAATTGCTGGAATCTCATGATAAAACTTGAATGAATGAGGAGTTGCTTCTTAACGGATGAACAAAGAAAGTGGTTTCTTGAGATGGAATCTACTCTTGGTGAAGAACCCGTGAACATTGTTGAAATGACAACAAAGGATTTAGAATATTTTCATACATTTAGTTGATAAAGCAGCAAAAGGGTTTGAGAGGACTGACTCCAGTTTTGAAAGTTCTACGGTGAGTAAAGTGCTATCAAACAGCATCGCATGATACAGAGAAATCTTTTGTAAAAGGAAGAGTTGTTGATGTGGCAAACTTCACTATTGTCTTGTAAGAAATTGCCAGACACCCCAGCCTTCAGCAACCACCCACCTGCTGAATCAGCAGCCATCAACATTGAGGCAACACCGTCCATCAGCAAAAAAATTACAACTTGCTAAAGGCTCAGATGATTGTTAGCATTTTGTATCAATAAAGTATTTTCTGTTGAAGGTATGTACATTGTTTTTAGACATAATGTTATTGCAAACTTAATAGACTATGATTTAGTGTAGACATAACTTTGATAGGTACTAGGAAAAAAATTAATGTGACTCACTTTATTGTAGTGGTCTGGAACCAAACCTGAAATATCTCCAAAGTATGCCTGTATCCCATTTGGATTATCTTTAAAAGGATCTTATTTTTTCTTGAACAAACACAAACTTAACAGTGGTTACCTCTGGGGAATAGCACCAGGACATTGAGTGGAAAGGAATTTTAATAATACTCTGTATTGTTTGAGTTTTTAACTATGAGAATTTATTACTTTCATAATAAAAAGTAACTAGAAATAGATATGTCTTCTGGAGTTATAATGGTGAAGAGAACAGTTCCAAGAAACCACTTGAGTATTCCAAGGTGCCTCAATTTTTACTTTGAGGCAAACACTGAACATCTTCAGTGAAATGTTATTTTTATTTATTTATGTATTTTTGAGATGGAATCCTGCTGTGTTGCCCAGGCTGGGGTGCAGTGGCATGATCTTAGCTCACTGCAACCTCTGCCTCCTGGGCAAGCAATTCTTTTGCCTCAGCCTCTCCAGTAGCTGGGATTACAGGCGTGAGCCACCACACCTGACTAATTTTTGTATTTTTAGTAGAGAAGGGGTTTCACTATGTTGTCCAGGCTGGTCTAGAACTCCTGACTTCAAATGATCCACCTGCCTCGGCCTCCAAAAGTGCTGGGATTACAGGTGTGAGCCACTGCACCTGGCCTGAAACGCTATTTTTAGTAAGTATAAATTAGCAATGACAAAAATTTATACTAAGACAATATTTACGTTCATAGAAATAAAAAGGAATAAAAAATTCAGAGGAAGTGCTTAGACCGTAAAATATCTAAATCATCCAGCATGCAGAATCAAGCAAAGATATTGTAAGAAAGTAACTTTACTTTTTCCAGATGTTTTGTTAAATGATCCTGTCTCCCCTGGGCTCATTCTGCCCGGATTGTTGCCAAAAATGGACTTCCTGCTTTTTCTTTCTTTTCCTCTGCTAGAGCCAGATGCATTTAGAGTTGACAGGCCTGTTCCCATAAAATGAAAATAAATAAGCCAAAAACTACAAGCAAGGCAACTCAACATTTTCCATCCCCGTCAATGTTTATTTTGAAGTCCTACTACTCCCTTGGAACCTAGTACGGAAGCCCTGCTAGCAGTTTTTGTTCTGTTCATAATAGCATTGTAGGCAATTAAAGCCAAGTTTAAAAAATCTAGGCAAATGCAGCAAGAACTGCGTGCTTAACGTAGAATGGCCACGAAATCACACACACACTTAGCTTATTGTGCATCAAAGATTTTGAAAAACTGGATGAAAAGAAGGTGTGGTAGCTGGAAATGATCAGGGGCTAATTATTCAGTTTGGAGAGATGAAGAAATGGCTACAGGCTTGAGTTTTAGTGTCATATTGTCTAGGTTCAATTCCTGTTGGTATCAGCCTTGACTTAACATCACCTTCTCAGTTTCCTTATCTACACAATGTGTGTCATGATAGGAACTCGCTCATAGGGTTAGTCTGAAGATTAAATGGGAAATATGGTGAAAATTATGTTTCATGGCTTCTCTTTCTCACTCCTGGTCTAACCATTCCCTGGATCCTTCATGCCTGGCCCAGTGCCTGGTGCAGAGCAGGAACTGAATACTTATTTGCTGAATGAGGAAATGAATACAGACCACACGGACCTGGCTCCAATGTAAAAAGAGTGAACTGAAGGCACCAGTGAAGCCAGAATTGCCTCTAGATTGTTCCCACTGTCACAATTGTACCTTTAGAGAGTAATTCCCTAAGCTGAAGCAGCATTCAGGAGGTCCTCTTTCAGATGAAAATTCACCTTTCAAGAACATCATCATCAGAGACAGGCTAGAGTAGTGTTTAAGAGCATAGACTCTGGAGTGAGACACAGCTGCGTTTAAAATCTGTTCCTAGAAGGACAACCTCGTACAAGTTACTTAACCTTTCTGATCACACTGTCATCTATAAATGAGCTATGGTTAGGAATAAACAAGAAAATATACATATACAGGTTGAATATCCCTCATCTGAAATGCTTGGGATTCAAAGTGTTTCAGATTTCAGATTTTTTTTTTCTTTTTCAGATTTTGGAATATTTGTGTCATACTTACCGGCTTGAGCATTCCTAGTCTGAAAATCCAAAATCCAAAATGCTTCCATGAGTATTTCCTTTGAGTGTCATGTCAGCATTCAAACAGTTTTGGATTGTAGAGCATTTCAGATTAGGGATGCTCCACTTGTCCATACTTACTCAGTCCACAGGAGCTGTTATTATTATAGCTTAATGTGGGGCTTTTAAGGTGGTTTTTTTTTCCCCTCCAAACTATCCATAACAGCAAACATGCACAAACTTACACTATTGAGTTCTTAGGCTTTGATCTTAATATTTGTGTACATTTTGCTCTTGACACAATTATTCAATAATGGATTTTCCCCCAAGTAAAACTGATGAGGGGCCAGGGGGAAGGGCTCTGTTCATTCTGGGGTTTTGCATGTATCCTGCCACATGTCAGTATCTTCCACCAGTATGTGGATACCTCGGTGAAGAGCCTGATTACTTTTTTGGGATGGGGAGGGGAAGAATGTAAACAAGGGCTGAGTGATCAAAAAAAGGAAGGATTTTGGATTGTGAGAAGGGGTTCAGAAAAAAATAATGAAGAAGCAACAAAGAACCTTCATCTACATTGTTGGCTCACTTACCAATAAGGACATTTCCAGAAAGCTATGTTCCAGACAATGTGTTAATCACACTAGATACTTTCTTGCCATTTTTCACAGCAGCTCTTTAAGTTAGGACTGTTACAGCCCTTTCACAGATAGGGAATCCCAGGTGTAAAGCACCTTTAATACATAACTGTTCAAGTCAAGGTCAGAGAGAGACAGAGCTGGGATTTTTTTTTTTTTTTTTTCTGAAAATGCTCCACTGGGCGTATGGAACAGAGCTGGGATTTAAACCCACATGGTTAGCTTGATGGCTGCCTCTCTTCCTCAGTTGAGTCTCTAGTTAATTTTAGGGTCTTCCTCTCATCTGTGTTTTTCCTTGTGGTTGCGAATGAGAATACTTATTTTAAATATAGGTGTTGGCACATCTGATGGTGACTAAAGCTTCAAGATAGAAGTCTGAGCAGAAGCTGTCTAGGTATTTAGGAATAAACCAACTCCAGAGCCAGATGCAGTGGTACACAGCAATAGGCCCAGTGACTTGGGAGACTGAGGCGGGAGAAGCACTTGAGCCCAGGTGCTTGAGTCCAGCCTGGGCAACTTAGCAAGACTCTGTCTCTAAAAAGAAAAAAAAAAAAACTTTTAAAAAAGAATAAATTGACTCCAGTACATATGATGGTATCTTCCTTCAGAAATCCTAATTTGGCTGGAAGCTTTGAAATTGCCTCCATAGTGATGTGCAGTCCATCAGCCGCATAACAACATTTAGGTCAACAGACCACATATATGACAGTGGTCCCATGTAAGACTATACTGGAGCTGAAAAATTCCTGTCACCTTCTGCTGTCCTAACATGATAGCATAACACATTACTCATGTGTTGTGATTAGACTGGTGCAAACAAATCTACTGCACTGCCAGTCATATAAAAGTCTAGTACTACAATTATGTATAGAACATACTTGATGATAAATGACTATGTTACTGGTTTATGTATTTACTATACTTTTTTATCATTGTTTTAGAGTGTACTCCTTCTATGTTACATATATATTTATGTATGCTGTATGTATGTATGTATGTATGTATGTATGTATGCATATAAATTATAAAACAGCCTCCAGCAGCCTCAGGCAAGTCCTTCAGGAACTATTCCAGAAGAAGCATTGGTATCACGGGAGATGACAGCTCCATGCTTGTTATTGTCTCTGAAGACTTTCAGGAGGACAAGATGTGGAAATAGAAGACAGTGATATTGGTGATCTTGACTCTGTGTAGACCTAGGCTAATATGGGTGCTTATATCCTAGTTTTAAATTTAAGAAGTTTAATAATTTAAAAAAAAATGAAGTAAGCTGGGCGTGGTGGCTCACACCTGTAATCCCAGCACTTTGGGAGGCCCAGGCGGGTGAATCACGAGGTCAAGAGATCGAGACCATCTTGGTCAACATGATGAAACCCCGTCTCTACTAAAAATACAAAAATTAGCCGGCATGGTGGCACACACCTGTAGTCCCAGCTACTTGGGAGGCGGAGGCAGTAGAATCGCTTGCGAACACGGAGGCAGAGGTTGTGGTGAGCCGAGATTGTGCTGCACTCCGCCTAGGTAACAAGAGCGAAACTCCGTCTCAAAAAAAAAAAAAAGAAAAGGAAAAAAAAAAGAAGTAAAAACGTTAAAAATAGAGCAAAGCTTATAGAATAAGAAAGAAATGTCTGGCTTAGAGTCAAAGAATGCAAAAAAAAAAAAAAAGGAAAAAAATTAGAAAGAAAATAGCTGGTGCGAGGCTCATGCCTGTATTTCCAGCTACTGGAATATCTGTG